AAGATAATAAAATAATTTCTTTTTTATCAATAAACCTCAGACCTCATCTACATTGGATACAATTAGCCAATATTGACCTGTAGTAATTGCTATTAACCAATATATGAGGTATAAATCAGCTTCGACTGCATTATATCAGCGTGCGTAAAATTCAACACGATATCAATATCAGCTTAAATTCTGACACAATATCAGTAACTGATACTTCAAAATTGGAATAGAACATGAAGGCATGCTGTAATAAAAAGAACAAGAATACAAGTACTCAAATGAGAAGAGATAATAAGAAGCTACTTCACCAATTATGGACATGTTCTCAGCACCTTTTGCTATATCCTGATCAGGAAGGTAAAAGCTAACTTGAGAAGATAAAATTAGATACATGAGACAATGTAGATAATAAGTCAAGAATATACAGAAACCAAGCACGAAAAAGGAGAGGAAGGAAACTTCATGCCACTTTTCCTCTTTAGCAAACAGGAAGGAAAAAAGAGACTAACAAGAAGATAAACAGATACAGAGCTCTAGGATTCTTAGTGTTTTCTGTGCTACAATTAGGTTGTCCATAGACATGCAATGCTATTGGTTGCACAACAGTGCAATCTGGTTAGCCACTTACATATGCATTCACCTATATATTCATAAGGTGGAGAGTAGGTTTTTATGCTTTTTTACTCAAAAACTAATAACTCAACTTCCCCGTTTATTATTGCATGCCATATCTATATAGGTTTTCCCCCTTTTTTCTTCTTCTTTTTTGTGGTGAAAACATGGTTTGAAAAGCTCAATTTAATGTCCCCTTTGAAGTGCAGCAGTTCAGTTTGCTGCACGGCCTATAATTGCATTCCATAAAGGTTACAATGTTTGGCTCAAAGCTTATACCTCTTTTGCAGTATATTCATATGGTATCTTTAAGAACCAACCTCAATCATTTTTCGATCTTTCAGCACCTTCACATCCAATATCGTCATCAGCAAAATATCTCATCCCTGGAAAAACTTCTACCTTCTCCCTTACCACACTTCTAATATACTTTGATTGTGTGTGGTAAGAAATGACATCTATTATCAATCTATTCAATGCACCCCCTGCCTTTCGCACTTCTCAGTTCATCTTTGCATATCCTATTTCACCACCAATAAGCTTATTTCTTGAGTTTGCAATGCAGCCATGTCATAACTGTAAATCAACTCATTCTCACCTTTTTCTTGAGGTAACTCATGACAATAAGTGATCCAGCCTTGCCAAATAACTTTTCCTAGCAGTTGTATCCATCCATCCACCAATAAACACATAAATATTACACTGAAAACTTCTGCATTTATTGGACTAGATTTAAACTTTCAGAAGAATTAGTAGAAATACACGAAAACACGGATGTCATATAAGAGAACTGAAATGCAAACGGCCTATAGTTGCATACTATCTCGATAATTTATGTCATAGATAGTCATAACTAATCTGTAAATGCATCACCTGTATGATTCCAACTTTGTAAGCCATCTTAATGAACTAAACTTAGCAGTCAATCAAATAATCTACACAGACCTCAATATTTTCACAACAAATATACAATACGCCAAAACAATAACAACATGCAATATGCCTGCCATTTTTTCATAAACCTTCTATCGAATACTTGCATACAGATCTATACTTATATTTCTCCACGGTGCATGATTTAAGCCCTTAGACTCAAGTCAATAGTCCTAAAGAATATAAATACAGCAAAGCATGAAAAGCTGATTTCAGAACAAATTTATGTGAACAGAAAGCAAAGGAACAAAAATTACCTTAATCACAGCCACAAATGAGAAGTTAGAAATCAAAGATGGCTTCTTCACTATCCTCCTCTCCGGCGTCACCTCCTTACACAACTGCTGAGCAATCTCCTTGAGAAGCAAAAGCTGAGCTTTTTCCGTTCTCATTGATATAATGGCCTGCCTCATCGACTCTCGGTCAGCCTCAAGAGCCTGTAGCCTTGTATATAATTTCTTTATCTCTCCAGCCTCAACGACATTCTCCCTTTTATCCTCGAAACTCTCTTCTCTTACCATTTCCACATCCTGTTCTGCTTCTTCTTCATTGCTCGTCTCAACAGTGGGCACTGCATGAACTGCATCAATTGTGTAAACCCTAGCGCTCTCCTCATCGTCCGAGAGGTGGTCCCCACCATTATCCTCTTCTTCTTCCTCCACCTCCTCATCGACATCCTCATTATCGTTAAATTCCTCTTTCTCTGCCTCCATCTCGTAAATCCTAGTCTCCAAATTCTGCAACTGATACAGAGCCGTCGGCGTGTACTTCTCAAGAACCGAGCTTTCGTGATCATCACCGTAATTCTCACCAGGGACCGTGCACCTCAATGGAGGGTAATCATAATCTGGAAAGTCGAAATTTTGAGGGGTTTCGGGGATTTCGGGCTCGAGATCGATCGCGTCGATCCCATAGCTCATGAGACGGTGCTTGTAGGCTTTGATCTCGCAAGCGAGGGCCTGGACGCTCTGCTCTCGTTTGAACACGAGATCATCTAGGGCAACGAGCTCCTGCTGATCGTGAGCCATTCTCTCTTCAGCGAACCTCTTGAACTGCCTAAACTCCATCTGAATCTCCGCCTTCTCTCGCTGAAGGCGGAGTATCATCGACATCGCCTCGTTCGCCGCCGTCGAGGCGGCGCTCCGCTCCTCCTCGAGCTCCTCGCTCAGATCTTCGATCGTCTGCTGCTGGCGAATTAGGGTTTCGCGAAGGGCTGAGACCTCGTTCTCAACCTCGACACGCGCTCGCGGCCCTCGATCTCGTCGAGCTTCCGCTTCACGGACCTTTCCCACGTGGATTTCATGGGTTTGGGGAGGAGGCAAGAGCATCCAAACTGGGGGAAGAAGACGAATGAGGATGTTGAAACCCTAGATTTCGTTAATTTCTTTCGATTCCTCGCTGTCTGCAACTTTTTTTTAGGTTTTGTTCGTTGGATATATTTCTCATTTTTTTAACTTTATGGATTTTGGATATTTTAAGGTCCCCTGGCAAATATGAATGTTGTTTGCGGATAATGCCCCCAGCGCCAGGCTGCCACGTAAAAAAGGGTTTTTTCACATAAAAACAGATAATTATACGAAATTCATATTTTAATTTTAATTTATACATACACCCATCTTTATTTAAAAGTGTGTTTGTGTTGCATGCAATTAATCACCTTATGGCCAAATTTTCACTACAAAATAAAAACCAAGCTTAAAAAAGTTTACGTTCAAGATATATTAGTTGTATCCTGACAAGACCTAAACCGTAACAAAATGAATCACATCTATTGAATGTGAATTTTTAAGAGTATTTTTTATTTGTTTTTTTTTTAAAAAAAATTTAACCGGAAGATGGTTAATCACAATAAAAAAATCTCTTTTAAAGATGACTTAAGTATAAATTAAAATTAAAAGTTGTTTTCCATATAATTACTCTATTTCTAACGTGGTTCCTAGGGGGAAAACCCCACTAAACAACCGTATCAAATGAAACTGAACTTGGGCTCAAGTTTAGTTACTTAATTTGATTAAAAGTGTGAAAGTTTCGGAGACGTGAACGCTGGTTTTCTTCTTTCTTTCTTTTTTTTTTTTTCAAAACGTGATCGATATAAAGAGACTCGGTACAAATTTTGACTAGTCCTTGAAATGAAGTTTCTTGATGTGTAGGTAAAGCCCAAGGACTGTCTAATTGGAATCATTAACTAGTTTAAATTGAAAGCAAATCATGATTGGATGAATTGATTAGCGCTGGATTAGCTTTTTAACACATGTCTAAGGAAAAATCGAACAATATGCACATTATTTAGGTAAAGTAATGATGTCAACACTTATTCCTTCCATCACTTGTCACCTGGTAAAAGTTAAAAAGGATGAGATGAGAACATTAACCCAAAACCTAGGGATAATAATGTGACTTTGATTCCTACGTGATGAAGGAATTTACAATCTTACGTCATCTAGGTAGACTTGAACATTGAGATCAGCATGTTCTTTTCTTGCGATTAAGATGGCTTAGTCAATGTTATTATAGCTTGAATTCTAAAAACAGAAATAATTAAGGAAAAATTACGGACGCGTTCTTTTTTCTTCAGAAGCCAGAAAGTAACGAAGTACGCCATATCGTGTCGTTTGAATGACAATTAAAAAAACTAGTATCTTCCGTGTCTTCTTCCTCTCTGGAAATAAAAAAAAAAAAAAAAAAAAAAAAAAAAAAAAAAAGAGGCCCAAGCTTTAATTATTTTTCGTTTGAATGAAGAACAAATGCGATAAAAAACGGTTATAACTTCACATCAGAATGGATTGACAAGGGGACCCTTCACAAAATGCTTTCTCATTTGCAATCTCAGAATGAAACATGCGTTGCAATCAAATTAACAGGATATTTGCTAGGGCTGGGCATATTCGGTTCGGATCGGTTTTAAGCTCAATCCGCATCCAATCCGAATTTTTTGAACTCTCAAAACTCTCATCCAGATCCAGATTTTTTTCCCTTCATCCGAATATTCGGCCCAACCGAAATTCGGATCGGTTCGGATCGGTTTCGGTTTTAGACCGAATTAATACTATTTCATAAAAATCTGCCCACACCTGAGATCATTGCTTATTAATTTCTGATAAAGTATCATTATTTATCCATTTTGTCTACTTAACTTTTCCCCCAAACAATGAAATGTGGAGCTTGTTTGAAGTAACATCATTGCCACAGCTAACAAAAAATCAAAATCAGTAAAATGAGTGCAAACCATATCAACAAGTACATATGGTTACGTAACATTCAAATATTAATTAACTATAATCAAAAGGTTATCTTTCATTTCTTGGAAAACAACTTAACCTCTAGTAGAATTTGAAAGCTTATATGAGGTTTCACCGATTTTAATGCGGGCATATACGCTAGCAGGCCCAATGAAAAAGGAACTATACAATATAAACATGTATGTAAACATAACAATCAAATTACCGAGCAATTATATAGCTTAATGTTCAAGTGATGACTCACTAATAAGAAAGCTATTCCATCCGACTTCGTCCGAACCAAAAGTCCTTTCCATTTTGACCGAATTCCGAACGACGAAGTCCTTCCCATTTTGAGTAATATGAATATCCGACAAAGAACGAATTAGAAAATTCGGTTCGGTTTTTTTTCGGGCGGTTCAGGGGTTCAAACCGTATCCAAACCGGTTTAATTCGGTTCGGGCGGTTTAGAGTCTTCTTCTCATCCATTTAATCCGGTTCGGTTAACCGACCCGCTTTTTCGGGCGGTTTTTTCGGTTGAACCGGTTATTTTCGGTTTTTGCCCACCCCTAATATTTGCTATATTTTTCAATAAAATCGATCCCATATTCGAATTCTATCTACATCAAACATCGTAACTACTTAAATAATAATAATAACAAAAAAAATAAACGAAAAGCGAGAAATCAAACACTACAAGTCGCCAGCATATCTTGAAGCCTTCACTGTCAATTACCAAGGAGGACTAACTTACATTCTATTGCACATAAATTGTCAGTTCATTTGACAAATATGAGCCAACTGCCATATGATGGGGCCGATATCCTTTTTTTGGCTGTCTTTTATTCTTATTTTGAAGCAAAAACAGAATATATCCACCTAATTTCATTAAGCAGGCGATAATGAACAATGATGAGATGGGAAGACTCCTACAAGAACATCAAATATGGGAGAAAACCTGCTAAAAGCTCTCAAACAAAATTTCATTGGGGTAATTTGGGGTAAATTGGGTCAAATTGTTCCAATGGGGTAATTTTACCCAATGGGATAATTTGAGTGGGATAAAGTGGGGTAAAATGGGATAATGGGATAATTTGAGTGGGACAATTGTTATGACATCTTTTTATAATATTATATTTATAGCTCAATTAAGTTCAAGTTTAACTTGATATAACATCAAATGATTAAGTAAATAATAGTTTTAATATAAAATAATATTATTTTTAATATTATTTTAATATAAAATATTAAAAATAATATTATATTATTAATAATATTAATATTAATCAATCTGTTTTAATATTAATATTATTTATAGTTTGGAACATATATAAAGATCTATATACACAAGGAGGTCAGGTATTTTCATCACCTTTTGTCTATGCAAATTTTGAAATGATATGTTTTTTCCCCATATAATTGGCAAGAATATCAAGATCACATTGGAAGCTCAAGCATTTTCTCTCCTCTGATTAACCAAGTGTGAGCATCTATGTATCATAATTTGGAAGAAGGGAAAGGATCATTACCGTCATTATATACCCATAGTTTTTCTAATTAGTACAAAGTTCCATTAAAACTACATATATGGTCGCTCCTGCACCTCTGTTTATCGAAGAAAAAGAGATACAAATTATATGACGACGACACTAATGAACATACGATTTTATCACCAATGAAGGCTACTATATTCACATGAACTGTGGCTTGCCGGTTCGATGAGATTTTGCTGCTTCTCTGTGTGTCTATCGCCACCGAGGCCTCTCTTGCCTGTAATATTTCGTGTGAGATTTTCTTCTTCGATTTATAAGAACACTTTATAAGAACACAAGTAAGCTACAAATACGTAATCAAATGTGAGACTAAACTAGCTAACACTTTTTAGGAAAATTGTTTCCTTAAAAAATTACAACACAAATAAGCTACAATTTGAATCCTCAGGCTTATGGAAGGATCCAACATCTGAATGCCCTACCCTTTCATGAACAAAACAATAGCGATTACATTGAAGTTAAGAATTACAAAGAATTTATAAACATATATACAATGTCCATCCGAATGCTCTGGGTCGTAGAGAACTCTATAAATACAAGGTAACCATATAAAGCAGTAAAGCTTTGCAAGCTACACAGCCCTCTAACGTGTGAACTTTTGATGTATTCAGACCGAAACAAGGCCATATAACTGTCATCTTTGTGCCAAGAAATTTCCTCTTAACTATTGACTTTATCAACAACATGAGAAGCAACCAAGCTCTATGCAGCAATCATGACTTATCTATACTAAAAGAAAATGCTCAGCAACTTTGCGTAAATTACAGTTCCTCCAAATAATTATCAAGTAAGTCACATTGAGCCTCTCGGGGACAAGAGCACCAGGACAGCGATCAGGTTCACTTGGTAAAGAACCAGGTTCTTCAGCTTCATTGTTTTGATCATCTTCCAGTACATTAGTTCCAACCCAATAGAAACAGAGAACTACTCACCACAAAACGTAGATTTTTCCCCCCCTCGATCAATGGACTTCAGTAGAAATTAAAACAGCTACCCATTAACCCATACAAGCTCAAAATCAATGGACAGGTGTAGAAATGCCCTAATTCATCGAAATAAAGAGAGACCCAAATTGAGAAACTCATCAAAAACACGGGTTAAAGGGGGTGATTTGAAATGGGGGAAAAGCAAACCTTAGTTGTAAATTGTTGAGAAATTAGTCGGCGTCCTCAAAAAGCAGCAGTGCACAGCTCCGGTGTACTTCCCGCGGCGGATGGAGGCGGAGGAGGAGGCGGAGGAGATGGCGGTGGGGAAATCCCTGCTTCGGAACGACAAAGGCGGAGCGGCGATCGAGCTCGAGCACGGCGACAATGGAGCTTGAGAACGGAAGTGAGGTAATTCTGTTCCCCTCTTGTTCCAGGGAAAAAAGTGGGGTAAATTTGGAGGGTGGGGGTGAGGAGTGCTTATATAGTTGGGGTAATTTGGAGGAAAGTGGGGTATTTGTCCCTCATTTATCCCAACAAACCAATAACACCATAAAGGTGGTTCCAGTTCCAAATACCCCAATGAATAACACCAAATATTGTTGTTCCAAAAATTATCCCATTATCCCCAAAATTACACCAATGAATAACCCCCCCTAACAGAAACAGTAGCACCTGCTTCCTATTGGAATATATGCATTCTTGATAAGACCTTCTCAATGGAGCTAAATCTCATTGACAGCTGCTTTTGTTTACTTTATTTGGTAAAGAAATTGACCGTTTGTTGCTGAGATGCTTCTGTAATGAAAGAAAATGTACACGGTAGCTTAAAAAAAGCAAATAAAATGAAAGGAATATTGAGTAAATAATTTACTCCTAAACTTGAGAAAGAATGTCTTGAGCTATGACTAGAGCCACATACAGTTCTCCACAGAAGTAGGTGACCTATTCTCTCCGGATGTTATCGATAAACTTAAAATCCTAGTTTATAATCTTAACACGCCACGGAAAAAGCTCACTTATCATTTATCCACAATCAATTGCTATGATGAGTACGTAACACTTCCAATCTCATTAGTACCTGAAAAAAATGAAAGCTTCGTCGTCAGCAACAAATATATTTAGTACTGGGTGCTAAATTGCTACTGATACTTCCAGTGTGCTAAACAAAATCAGGAGGTTTCCAAAGAAAGAACTCTGAGCCCCATTCTTGATATAATTGGAAAAATATTATACTCTCAAGGAGGCCTACCTGCAATTAGTCATCTTCTGCCATATTCTTGTCAAGAAACATGCCCATTAGCCTACCTGCAAATGTAACATGGGAAGCTCCCACATGATGGAAGCCAATATCTTTGATTTTATTTTGATAAAATGTAGGCTGGGACCATTTGATATCATTCTTTTGAGGTACATTAACACCCCCCCCCCCAAAAAAAAAAAAAAAAAAAAAAAAAAATAACCCCCCCCCCCCCAAAAAAAAAAAAAAAAAAAATCTAACTGATAGATTGTAGGACGTTTCTTCCAAAATTTACTATCCTGAATTTACCTCAGAAATCCAACCCACTTTTGCGCTAGATTTGAAAACCTAGAACTATGTTTTTCAATAATGTAGGGTCATGTTCATCTTGGAAAACATGGAACCAAGCCTTCCTAATGTTCATTTTTGCACATATAACTTGAATATGTTAAATTATGGTTCATCTTGTGCTTCGTTGTCAGCATCAACGCCTTGTTCAGGTTAATGAAAAAAAAAAATCAATTCCTTATTCAGATAACTTGCGCACCTAATTAGACAACATTTCAACATCAGCTACCCTGATATCAAATTGCTAATATTTTCAGTTTCGCATAAAAAGCAAATAACTACAGGGATAACCAATTCTACTGGAAGCCAACAATAGAGCCAAACCTGAGGCAGAACATATATAAATATATATATACTAAACTGTGGTTCCAAAATTAGGTAAGGTTTTGAACTCTAATGCTTTTAACCTTAATTGCATCCTTGCAAACTTTTAATAGGCTAGGACCAATTCTAGAATAATTTTATCAAACACAATCATTTTCAAGATTTTAGTTGGCATCATGATAATCCTTCAACTAAAACAATCAAAACCATCTAGACGGGAGCGGCAGCAACGACTAATATATTTAGCAATACTGATATTAAAAGCCTTCTCAGATGTCGTGAACTATTAGTTGTATCAGCTTAAACTTGTCCACAATGAAAAAGAAAATGCCCAAAATGATAGGTCCGCCAAAAGTTAAAGGACAAAGACATTAAATCCTCGTGTTGTTGCCCTCAACTTGAATCTCTTTTGTAAAGGAAATTAGATGAGTTCTTTTTTTGCAGTTTTGGTCCCAAAATGTCTCATTCAAAGTTCAGAAAATGCCTCAATTATAATCGTCATTATTGACTGCACAAAACCAAACAAGTTGTTTAAGTTTTTGCCCATCATGGAGTACGAGCTAATCTCCTTTTCCAGGCTGTAGTGATCAGGAATCTGCCCTAAACTTGATTGCATCCATTGAATGTATTTCATTCTCCTAAGGGAGTCTTTTAAAGGCTACAGTTCTATGCCCTACGCTCATTTAAGTTAAATGTTGGAGGTACATCTGTAGCTAATTTAGATTCAAACGCAATAAATTATTGGCAACCATAGTAGTGATTTGTAGACTTCTCTTATCAAATTACTTCCATGGTACAAGAGAGAAAAGTGTGGGCTCCTTCTCTACAATTTTTCCAAAATTGAGGATCCTCATTTTTCCATCTTGTAATATGAGAGCAGTTTGGAAGAGAATACTCTAGCTAGCATTATTCAAATACTAAGAACCACATGGAACAAGAGCCAAGAACCAGAGAAAGGTAAAACGGGAGATGAAGAAGAAATGTGACGTGTATATAGAATGAAATAACTGCTCATGTTAGATCTCATCCAAAGTGGTGAAGAACCACAAAAACTTACGTATATTTAGAAAAGGTAAAAACCCTACAAACACATCGTCTTCTAAAAATCAAACAAACATGTACAACCATTTAACCTAGACATTCCACAAACTACTCATGCCTCTAGCGTATCATGAGAAGCATCATGGAGAGGAGTAAGGAATGACAATTATGTAGGAATCAGCGAGATATATCAAGGAGAAACGAGCCCTGGATAGATCTTGATTGTTAAGATCCTAATCAGTTAACTCCGATGATCAAGACCTCATTGCAACATAGGTAGATAGCACAATGCCTTAAGTAACCTACAAATTAACTCCTATTTTCTTTTCTCTTTGCTATCTCATCTTATTATGATGTTCATCGACAAATGAACTATAACATAAAATTTCATTCTATTCAAAATCGTTTATAAATCTGACATATAGACATATGAACTCTCTAATATACAAAGCCAGGTTAGCTATGATAACTGGGCCGTGATTGAGAGCATCTCGGCCTTGTGTTACTGGGTCTAGAGTGAGTTAATTGGGCTTTTGAAAAATTTAATGAGGCAACCGGTAGGTCTGACGTTAAATTGACTTTGCTACTTTACAAAATGAACCCAACACTCACCAGCCAGAGTCCTGGACATAAGGAAAACAAGGATCTGTTTAAGACAAAGTAGTGACGAAATCTTGCCGTTTTCAGGAAATTACCAATAGTTTTATGAGGCAACCTTTATAGAGCTCTTTTCAGGAAATTGCCAGTAATTTTCACACTAATAACCCAATTTCGCAAACTAATAATCAAAACTTGCAAGCAACTATAGAAGACTGCCCAGCCAACAGGACCAGGAACACAAAGAAAGAGGAGAGATTCTAGAAGCTAACATCAGAATCAGCAATAAAACACCCAACCTCCTGGTTCAGTTACAACCACCACCACTCTCACCGACAAACCTCTTAACAACTTCCATCAACTCATTAGCCGGCTCCGACCAAGGATCAATAGTAAAAAACCCATGCTGCTGCCCTTCAAACTCCGCCACCTCCACCGGCTTCCCCCACTCCTTCAACCTCTCAGCATACTCCACCGCCCGATCCCTCAACAAATCACAGCCTCCAACCACCACAAGCATCGGCTCAATCTCGACCTTCTCCAAACTCACGCTCTCAGGCCCAAACGGATTGATCAGAGGATGATCAATATCCGCTCCTATCGGCATTGACAGCCTCCAGAACCTGTCATTAAGCTCCAAGTTCAAGAATGCATCTTTCGGACACTCCGCCTCAGATTTCGTCCGCTGGGTCCCGCCAAAGAAGGGGCCCAGAAGAACGTACCCCCTGATTCTAACCGGTGCCAGGTCAGCGAAGTTTGAAATGGCTAGATGATGGGTGATGGTCCCGCCAGCGGAGTCACCGGAGATGAAGACTCGGGTGAAGTCAGCTACATTGGATAACCACGTGTCCGGGTCTGTGGCCGCCGACTGAGCATGAAGCCACTTGACGGCTGAAAAACTGTCATCAATTGCAGCAGGGAGACGGTGTTCAGGGGCAAGACGGTAATCTGGGGATATAATAACAGCTTGGAGCTCAGAGGCAAGGCGAAGGCAGTAGTTCTGACAGTTTGGCCACGTTCGAGATCCTATACAGAATCCGCCTCCATGGAAGTAGTAGAATATCGGGAGCCTGGAGCCATTGGGATCTCGAGGTTTGTAGAGGCGTAGGGAGAGTTTGTGAACAGGATCAAATTCTACGTCTTTCCACTCGACAGTTCCATCGTCGTGGATTGGGACAGGGAAGCTAGGGTCAGGGGAGCGAGCGATGGAACGTCCGCTAAAGAGCTTGAAGAACACCTCGCATCTTCGGACCTCGATAGGGGTGGTGTCAGTGTTGGACATGGTGATGATTGTTGATTTTGGGTTGTGCCAAGGAAGTCCTGTTATATAAGAGGGAGAAATGGAAGAAAACAAAGCATAGGTTAAAAGAGTTGGCATAGTGAGTCAGCCTCTTTGTCCTATGTGGTGCGTAAGTTACATGCCTGATACTTCCGACTCCTAGTTTGTGGACTCATTCTAAATTGAACTCAGGAACTAAAACAAAATTGAAGAATAGTCAGTATACTTCTTAAAATCCAAAAGTAGAGTTTTAAGTGGGATGAATCAGCAGTCCACTACGAAAATGATGACTAAGTTGAAAGATATTTAACCGAACCAAAAAAGTTCAGATATCTTTTATACGCACAGACAAAGGGTGGTAGCTATTAGTCTTTGGCCCTATGATTTAAAGAAGACAAAATTTGCTGGAAGGATGTTAAGATGGAGGAGGTGAAAGTTGCAATCACATTGGGCTCTATATCCTCATCATCTTAGAGCGCAGAATGAGAATGTACAAGCGTGGCAAAGCCTGCTTTCCTCCATCACTGTGTAGCATCTGACCTGTTTTCCAATGCAAGATGGCAAAGCCATTCCATCAAAACAGTGAAACCAATTATGCCAGGTTTGGGGTTCAGGATCCTTAGTCAAGATCCAATATAATTGATAATTATTATTATTCATTATCCAATTATTAAAAAAATGCAAGGTGGCAAGACACCCCTTAGCCAAATTCAATGTTTGAAAATCTTACTTTTAGATATGATTTAATTCTTGTGCATGCTAGAAGATAAGTTTCATTGGATTCTGCGAGATAAAATGCTTTTCAGGCACACGAGATGGCCTACTTTTTTTTTACTTTATTGTTATCTATTTTTCATAATTTCTATCCATATTCCCTTTCCGTTCTTACACCAGTACACACTCTATGCACATAATCGTACCAAATGGCTATAGTTCACTTATTAAGGAAAATTACGGCTCACACAGTATGTGCCCCGTAAACATAACTATTAACCTGATCAATAAGAGAAAGTTGTGTTTTAGCATATATAAATAGGTAGGGGTGTCCAAATGGGCCTGAGGCCCGGGCCTGCTGGCCCGTGTGCCCGGCCGGGTTTAGCCCCCCGAGCCAAACCGGGTTCCGGCCCGGTCGGCGGCGCTCGTCGGCGCGCCACACGCCCGGCCCACCAAAAATGGCCGGAGCTATGGGTTGTCGGCCGAGCCGTGGCCGAAGCCAGTGGCGCCGTCTGGCCCCAAACGGTCACTTAAATCTGACCCATTTTATGACAAACAGCGGCCCGGCCCGGCCGTAACAGCCATTTTTGACCTTTTGACCAAAATAACCCCAAAAACGGTTAAAAAAGATCAAAATTTTAGGGTATTTTGGTCATTTGTCGAGGGGTCTGCCTCTATAAATAGATGGGGTTTTCATTTGTTTTTCTCATCCAAAACTCATCTACTTCTCTCTAATACTCTATTATACTCTCTAATAATCGCTTTAGCTCTCTAATTCTTCAATCAAATGGCTTCCTCATCTGATTATGAAGGAAAAAACTCAACTCCCGAAATGAGTCCTCCTACTATAGGAGGCACAGCTACTCCTTATACTCCTACCGATGTTGATCCTACATCCGGTGGTGACGATTCTACTACACCAAGAGCTCCTAAAAGACCGAGATCCGATGTGTGAAATTTTTTCGAGAAGATAAACATCATCAGGGATGAACATGGTAGGCTTCTCACCCAGAAGGCTAAGTGTGTTGTGCGGCCATATTTTTCAAGCTCATCATAAGAGCGGCACCAACCACCTCAAACGCCGTTTAGATAAACACAACAAAGGTCAGACGCCTCAATGTGATATCCGACAATCTATGCTTTCCCAATCCTCATCTTCTGGTAGTATCGGTAGTTAGAATTATGACGTAGTCCGAACCAAGAAATGCGTCATCAGGTTTATCATTCTTAAAAATCTTCCTTTTAAATTAGTAGAAGAAGATAAATTTGAAGATTTATTTACAGATGGTTTTTATCCCGCATTTAAAAAAATTTCTCGTCAAACTTGTTAACTTGATATTTTAAAATATTATCAAGAGAAACAAGGAAAAATAATTTTTTATTTTCAGTTTAAACTGTAAATTTTTTTAACTTCTGATATTTGAATATCTAAAGCATAAACTGGTTATTTATGTATCACAGCACACTGGATTGATAAAAATTAGCAAATATTTAAAAGAGTTATTTCTTTCATTGCATTTGAAGAGTCACATACTGGTATTAATATTACAAATTTAATAATTGAAGAACTTACAAAAATAAAAATATCAGAAAGAATATTTTCTCTTTCACTAGATAATGTAAGTAATAATATAGTTGTTGGTTATATCAAAACATCTCTGTTATTGCCATATTATGATGATCTTTTTCATATTAGATGTGACTGCCATATTTTAAATTTAATTGTTCAAAGTGTATTTAGTGAAATTAAACCCATGATAGAAAAGATTAGGTCAGTAGCTTATGCTCATAATACTTATGAACAAAGAATTAAAAGATGAAAATAATTATGTAAAAGAAAAAATATAAAACTCAGACTAATTCCAAAAGATGTTGACCATAGGTGGAATTCCACCTATGCAATGTTAAGCGTAGCAATAAAATATAAAGATTATAAATAATTTTATTGCTTTTTATACTTCTAGTTCTAGCTCTGGTAGCATGTATGGAATAACTGAAGATGAATGGATAGTTATAAGTAATTTAAAAGAGATGTTACAAGTTTTTTATGATGCTACAATGTTATTATCTGGCTGTTATTATCCAACCATTACTTTAGCTGCTTTACAAGTTTTAAATATTCAAAAAAATAATAATAAATATCGTATAGATAATTATTTTAAAAATATAATTTTTCAAATGGAAAGTAAATTTAATAAATATTTTATGTCTATTCCTATTATTTTTGGTTTGGGGGTTCTTATTGATACGTGTCTGAAGGATATTGGCTTTCGAAGTTTGTTAAATTCCTTGTATGATAATATGATTATCAGTGTTTTAAATATCGACCAACATATCGGACATGTCGGCCGATATAGCGGATTGAGGTGTCGAGCGACACAAATATGGGAAATACAAGTCGCATATCGTTTTTCGGCGACATATCGGTCATATCGGCAAAAAATCGGACATATCGGCCGATTTTCCTGTTTGGAAAATCGACCGAGATTTATAAAAATCGGTTCAGCTTATTGGGTTTGGTTTGGGTTTGGGTCGATGACTTGCCCTCTTTTTGAACCCGATAGACACCCCAACGACCGATATACACTCGATCAAAAGAAAAAAAAGGAGAAAAACACCCGATCAAAAGAAAAAAGGAGAAAAACCCTAGTTTTCGCTTGCAACTGGGAACCAGCAGCCTCCTCTCGTCGTTTTGCCTTCGTGGTCTCAACAACAGCAAAAACCCTAAGCCTTCGTGGTCAGAAATTCGAAGCTCCTCTTTCTTCTGCGCCATCGGAGCCGCCTCATCATCTGTTTTTTCCCCGTGCCGCCACCATCGAAGCTCCTTTGGTAAGCCTCTCTGACCTCTCTCTCTCTTTCTCTCTCTCTCAAAGATAAAGAAAACATAGATGATTCTCTGATTCTGACTCTTCATGGCCTCTCTGAAGTCTGACCTCTCTCTCTCTCTCTTTTTCTCTCTCTCTTTCTCTATTTTCGAACCCGATAGACTCTGTTTTGGGATGCATCTAAGGTTTTTAACTTTCCCTTTTTTCTTTTTACTCTTCTTTCTTTTCCTAAATTATTATCATAAGTTTCTATTTGTATCTTGGAGCAAATTGTGGACAAAAAGTAATTAAATAATTCTTTTGGATTAAAAGTAAAATTATCTTGTTAGAGTTTTTTATTTTTCAGGATGAATCCTTTATTTTTATTTATTTTATTTTTCAGAGATAGATAACTCCCCTTTGAGTTTTTAAATGATGGGAATGCTTGTATAAATATTTGTTTATATCTTTACATTTTAGCTCTAACTTGATTTTTTAGTAATCCTCGGAATATGAAAGATTCAACTCTAGTAATAATCCTTGTTTAATTAATATGATGGGAATGCTTGCATAAATATTTTTTATGTCTTTACATTTTAGCTCTAATCTTGTTTAATTAATATGAAAGATTCAATGTCTTAATTTTTAGTAATCCTCGTAATAATCCTTGTTTATCATTTAATATCCTTGATTTCTCGTAATAATCCATGTTTATCATCTTTGTGGATCTTTACAACTCTGGTAGCAACTCTTTGGATAATTTTTACAGTCTGGTAGCAACTCTGTGGATCTTTACAGTCTGGTAGCAACTCTGTGGATAATTTTTACAGTCTGGTAGCAACTCTGTGGATCTTTACAGTCTGGTAGCAACTCTGTGGATAAAGAGTTTCTTCTTTTCTTCTGTGGATCTTTACAATCTGGTAGCAAATCTGTGGATAATTTTTTTCTGTTTGCACTTTGCACATTCAGTTTGTGTGACTGTTGAGTGGTGACTGCTGACTAAGAGGACTTGTTTCTCAAAATCAGGTAAGCCTCCTTGAATTTTTTCCCCTGTCAAATAAAATTAATTTTTAGTTAGTAATTGAATTATAAATATGTTGTCTAAATCTGTATTTGTCTTATTTTGTAGAATCATGACGTCTGAAGGACAAGGATCTACTAGACCGCCAACAACATCAAAACCGGACGGTAAAGATCCATATTGGCTAAATGTGGAGAGAGTTGATTCTGATACAAGTAAAGTTAAATGCAAATATTGCACTCAAATTCTCAATGGCGGGATTAGCCGATTCAAACAACACCTAGCCGAAAAAAGGGGAAATTGTGCGTCGTGTGTGAAAGTACCCGATGATGTTAAGGCGAAAGTTTCTAAAATTTTAGATAATGTAAAGAAGAGTAAGGATGAAAAGGAGATGAAGATGCATAACTTGTTGAGTGAGGTGTATATTGGGGAGGATGAGGAGGAGCAAAACTCTATCTCATTGAATAGTCAAAGAAGCTCATCATCCTCCCACAAGGTAATTGGACCAATGGACTCCTTCGTCGCTCGTTCTCCCGAGGAGATAGCCCAAATGGTAGCAAAGGGGAAACAACCAACGATGGACTCCAAACTTAAAAAGAAGAAAAGGGAGGATGTATTGCGATACGTCTCCAAATGGTTCTATGAAGCCGGCATTCCATTTCATACCGTCACGCTTCCCTCTTTCCATCAAATGCTACAAGCTATTGGCTTGTTTGGAAGTCATTTGCAAGCTCCATCCATGTATGAACTGAGTGAGACATGTTTGCAAAAAGAAGTTGAAGAGACAAAAGAAATTGTTAAAAACTTTAAAAGGACTTGTGTTGTCAATGGTTGCTCGATAATGACCGATGCATGGAGTGATCGGAAGTCTAGAAGCATCATGAACATAGTTGTACATTCTGCTGGGAGAGCTTGTTTTTTATCTTCACATGATGCATCGGCTGATAAGCACGATGCTAAGTATATCTTTGATTTTGTAGACAAGGCTATTGATCAGATAGGGGAGGCAAATGTGATACAGATAGTCACTGATGGAGCTTCAAACAATATGACGGCTTCTAAGTTATTGCTTGAGAAGAGGTCAAATATATTTTGGACGACTTGTGCTGCACACACGGTGAACTTGATGTTGTGCGATATAACTAAGATAAAACACATTCGTAATGCCATTTTAATGGGGAGTGTATCAGTGTTCATATATAATCACACCAAGCCTCTTCAATTATTTAGGGAGTTCACTAAGAGTGATCTTGTGAGACCGGGAGTTACGAGGTTTGCTACGGCGTTCCTTTCTCTATAGTCATTAAGAGATCATAAGAAAGAGATGAGGCAAATGTTTATCTCTGACCAATAGACAGATTGTAGCCTTTCAAGAACATCAGTGGGTAAAAAGGTATATTTTAAATTAAAATTTCAATTGCATTAATTTTATTCATTTGATCATTTATATTTTATTGATTGGATTTATTTGTATGTTTGTAGGTTGCGGAGATTATATATTTTATTGATTGGATTTATTTGTATGTTTGTAGGTTGCGGAGATTATTGCTAGCAACAAGTTTTGGGATAATATAGACTTTGCTCTCAAAGTATTCGCGGAGATTATTGCTAGCAACAAGTTTTGGGATAATATAGACTTTGCTCTCAAAGTATTCACTCCTCTAATGAAGGTTCTTCGGCTTGTGAAAAAAATTGGAGTACATTTGAAATGGTAATATTATTTCTTAAATTTTAATCATCTTGTATGCTTGTATTGTAATATTTGATGAGTAGTTTTTTTATGCTAATTCATGATTTTCTTTTGTAGATTCATACGAAGAAGAGGAATAGACTAACTCATAAAAAACTTCATGATTTAGTCTTTGTCAAGTTCAATGCAAAGTTGAAGAACAAGCATGCCGTCCCAAATAAAGATCCTTAAACCGCCTACGATGATGATGAAAGAGTCACTGAATGGTTGTTGGGTGAGGAGGGGAATAATAGTGATGATGAAGTATTTCCGGGAGAGTGTTTAACCTTTAGGCAAGTTGGAGATATTTCGGGAGCTAATCCAAGGAAGAGAAAGAGTGGAAGGTTGCAAACGTATGAAAGAAAGAAGAAAGCGGGATCATCTTCATCGAAAGGAAAAGAGCCGATGGAAGATGACGAGGAAGAAGAGATGGATGCGTTCTTCACGGAGTCGGATGAGGATGCTAATGCTACTTTTGAGGATGACGATGAAGATTGATTCTAGACTTTCTAGTTATCTTAGCTTTTATGTTATTATGGATTTGCTCTTGAATGTTAAACAATTATAAACTATTTGTAGCTTTAAAAACTTGTTTGTTTGTTTTGATTTGCTTATGTTTGATATGAATCTTGTGAGTTGTGATCTTCATTCTATATGTTATATCTTATATGTTACTTGCTTTATTCTTTACATGTTATTCTATGTTTACTAACAATGTTTTCTTATTTTGTAGGTCAAGCACCCAAATTGTTTCAGGATGCAATCGAGAATTAAATTTCTACAATCGGTTAGTGATCCTAAACATCATATATTGTTTACTTTTTTATATGTCTAGTCTATAAAGTTTATAAAGTATGCTTATATTGAATTTAAGAATACTTAGATTACATTTAGGACATGATATTATACATATACGCACACCCGATATGGCAATCCGATATTTAGTCCATATCCCCCGATATATCCCCGATTTTTCCGCTATCCGACATGAATTTCAACCGTCCGACATGAACCCGACATCCGATATTTAAAACCTTGATGATTATAAACACTGATGATGGTCAAACCATTATTGCTACTACTCATCATAATACTGTTAGAAATTATTTTTAAAGATTATATGATGAGTACGTAGCTAAATATGGTGTAGCTACACATAAGTCTATAGCTTCTGCTTCTACGAGCTCAAGTCGGGGCAAAAGTGTAAGTTTTGATAGGTATGCAATGGTAACTGAGCTAACTGGTGGATCTGGACTTGGATCATCAGCGAAAGTTTCTAAAATTGATCAATATTTAACTACATCTTTAGTTAAATATCAAAATAATAGTTTAGATATTTTACAATGGTGAAAAGTATATGGAACAGCTTCATATTCTATACTTTCCATCATGATTCGTGACTTACTAATAGTGCAGGTTTTCACGGTAGTTTCGGAATCTGCCTTCAGCATAGCAGGACGTTTGATCGACGACCACAGGACATCGTTAGATCCGTATATTGTACAGACGATCATGTGCTTATAAGATTGGTGGAGGTACGAGAAGAAAACACAAGGTATCGATCGAATAGCTGGTATTGAAGATAAATTTGAAGAGTTGGGACTAGTAGATAGATATAAAGAGGAAAGAATATTCATCAAATTATAATTTTTATTTCTCAGCTAAAATTTTGTAATAAATTAATTTAGAAACAGTTACAAATGATAGTGATATAGATGAATAGGTATCAACCTAGTTGGGATGTACTCATCTATTGTGATGCGACGAATTCCAAAATAAATATAATTGTAAACGATTTACTAATTATTAATAAAAAAGTTATTTTTATCATTTTAATTTTTATAATTTTTTGTATTTGTAATTTATGAAATTTCAAATGATTAATAAATAATAATATGATTTTTTTTATTAAAATTTTATTTAATTTTTTTAGTTATGTATTATTGAAAATTTAAAGAAATAAAAAAATGAAAAAAAATGAAAAAAATATAAAAAACCTAAAAAACCTAAAAAACCAGGCCGGCCCGGGCCCGGTTTTCCAGGTCGGCCCGGGCCGGGCCAGCCCATTTGGACACCCTTATAAATAGGACGTCGTCACCTTCATTTTTCTAGTACCAATGCCAAGTTCTCTGGTACATAGTCCTACAAAGGGAGAGACAACCTAAGTCAAATCTACTCTTCTATACTTATAGGACCCAAGTAATCACTATTTATGCTACAGTAAATATTGTATTCTAACTCGAATCTAACACTGTTCTTTTGATGTTACTGTTATGCTATAGGATTTTGTTGTATTATAAACAGTAAATTAAATCAAATGTATTAAAACTTAGATCCTCCTCTAAATATAAAGGAGTAGATATGGTTTCTAAATCAAATGTATTAAAACTTGAATCCTCCTTTAAGTATAGAGGAGTAGATATGATTTCTAATTTTAAGTATACAATAATCAAATTAAATACAAGGTTGTTGATAGCGGATCACGTCACGTCGCGGCGAGGTACCGCTTAGGCTATTGCGGGCTATTGCGGCAAAATAGTGGCAAATAACGTACAGTCAAATAGCGGTCAAATATAAATATATTTAAATATTCTAAATAATAAGAAAAATCATATAAAAATCTAAAAATCCTATAAATGCATACTTGATGCCTAAACATGAAATAGATGTGTGATAATTACATAATATTAACAACGTACTATAATTATAAAGATTAAAGAATGAAAAAACGCACCTGTTTAAAAATTATTGATATAATGAGTATATATAATTAAAATTTAAAAGAGTCCTTTCAAGTCATAAATGAGTAAATAAGCAGAAACAGATAACAAATCATATTGATCAAGTATTAACAATTGTATAGCACAAAATGTCTAATGGGCATGGACATGTAAACAATAACGAAACAAAAGAACCCACAACCACAAATTCCAAATAACCATACAAAAATATGTATGCAGGTATATGCCCAGTGTTCATTTAGGCAAACATAATAAACTGCCTACCTATTGGATAAAATGTACAAACTTTTTATAACCATAACATGGTGGCATTCATCTTATGATGGAGTAAGTATCTTCTAATTAGAAGTACAAACTTTTTATAACCATAACATGGTGGCATTCATCTTATGATGGAGTAAGTATCTTCTAATTAGAACATCCCAACAAAAAATATCCATAAAAGAACATTCATCTTATGATGGAGTAAGTATCTTCTAATTAGAACATCCCAACAAAAAATATCCATAAAAGAAGTCTCCTATTAGTTACGCTTATTAGTGCAAGTTCAAAGATCAACAAGATATCAACCACTGACAATACTCATGGTGCAGTACAGAAAAATCAGTTTATGAAAATATCAGATAGTGAATAGGATAAAAAAGATGAAATTGTACTTCATTGAAAGGGAAGATAGGGAAACTATGAGAAGGTTTAGAGGAGAATTTATACATTTTCCTCTGTTGCAGATCTAGCCAACAGAGATGGAGATAACGTCGGAGGGAAGCTTGTCGGAAGTCGGAGCGGTTGTCCTGACTGGAGCCGGAGCGGTAGTCACTGAAGCTTTGCAATCAGTAGAGGGAGGCTGGAGCTTCGAGCGGAGCTGTTCGCTGGAGCCTGGAGCGAAGCTGTTCGTTGGAGCCTGGAGCGGAGCTGCAGAGATGATGAAGTCGCTGGAGCCTAGAGCGGAGCTGCGGAGATGATGAAGTCGCTGGAGCCTAGAGCGGAGAAGATGACAGGAGGCGGCTAGGGTTCGGGTGTGTGGGAGAGAGGGATTCGTCGTGGCCATTTTTATCCGCTTTTAACAAGTCGGGTTCGAGTTCGGGTCGGGTTCGGGGTGAAAAAATCAAATGCGTTTGATAGCGGGTTTAGCGGGTTTACCGCTTTTAAATGCTTTTATCCGCTTTTAAGTGCTTTTACGCGCTATTCGAATGCATAACGGTTTTTCGTGCTTAATCTAGCCGCGAAACCCCTACGCGTATATCTGAAGGGTCGCGACCACCTATGATGCACGGACACGGATACGGGACACGGATACGACACGGACACGGATAGGGGATACGAAAAAATCCAAAAAAATAGGATACGGGGATACGGCGAGGAATTTTTTTTCAAATTATTATTATATATAGAAAATTTTATAAAATTCAACTAACAATCTAAATTATGAATCTATCATAAATAACAAATTTGTAAAACAAAAAGGAATTGGAGTACAGTACTCATTCTATCACAAAATAACAAGTTTGTAAACAATTAAGTATTTACATGTTTATAATTTATTAGTTAGCATGCAAATTACTATTTTAAGCTCTTTTTCTAATTATACTAATTAATAAGTGTCAAGACTAGACTTTGTTTTTCTTTTTACAGATTATACTTAGAGTTAAAAGGCAGCAATAGCAAGGATGAAGGATCAATAAAAAATTCCAACACAATTCCCAAAATAAATATCTGTAATCCATTCATTAAATAGTATATTCAATTTGTGTAATAATTCATTTGTGTAATAATTTATTGACTAACAAAATTATTGACTAACAAATAATTCATTGCCTAACAAATAATTCATATTGTATAATAATTTTTTGACTAACAAAATTATACTGGCAGATTCATTTGTTGATATGAATTAAATGTTCAAACATTCCCAATGCTTAAAATATTCGAAGGTGTTGATATTTAAAACACGAATAACGTTCATTGCAGATTCATTTGTATAAGAAATGGACAAAATTCCAATGCTTACTAGACATATAATGAAATTCATTTGATGTAATTTAAATTCATTTGTTTAAGCAAACTGAAATTGAAATTAAAAAAATACTCATATGTTAGGAAATTAAAACTGATATTGAAACTAAAATTAAAAAAATAATTATCAAATGAAGCAATAGGATTGTAGATCTGCTGACTTGCTCAGCAGTATCACGAAGCTGCATAAACAAAAAAAAAGTTAGTTTCTCAAAAAAAACAAGATAAAAAGACTGATAGGGACGGAGAAGGTTAGTTTTCTCAAAAAAAAAAAGATAAAGAGACTGATAGGGACGGAGAAGGGAAAAGAGAGAGATGAAGAGATCGACAGAGAGGGAGACGAAAAGAGAGAGATGAAGAATCGACAGAGAGACTCTGAGAGAGACGAACAGACGATTGAGAGAGAGACGAACAGAAAAGAGTGAAAAAGAATCAGAGAGAGAGAGACTCAGATCCAGAGAGAGAGAGAGACGAAGATCGAGAGAGAGAGAGAGAAGAGAGAGAGAGACTGACCTGTGATTTTGAGGACGAGCGTCGAGGACGAGATCTTCGTCGAGCGTGCGAGGTCGAGGACGAGGAGATCTTTCGTCGAGGTCGAGGTCGAGGTCGAGCGACGAGGTCGAGGAGCTCAGATTGTGGCTGCGGCGGCGGGCAGTCTTCAGGTAAGTGACGATAGGGTTTTGTGAAGATAGGGTTTAGCTCAGATTTGTGCCGGCGGCGTCTTCAGGTAAGTGAAGATAGGGCTGCATATTCGGTTCGGATCGGTTTTAAGCTCAATCGCATCCAATCCGAATTTTTTGAACTCTCAAAAACTCTCATCAGATCCAGATTTTTTTCCCTTCATCCGAATATTCGGCCCAACCGAAATTCGGATCGGTTCGGATGCGGTTTCGGTTTTAGACCGAATTAATACTATTTCATAAAAAATCTGCCCACACCTGAGATATTGCCTATTAATTCTGGATAAAGTATCATTATTTATCCATTTTTGTCTACTTAACTTTTCCCCCAAAACAATGAAATGTGGAGTTTGTTTGAAGTAACATCATTGCCACAGCTAAACAAAAAATCAAATCACTAAAATGAGTGCAAACCATATCAACAAGTACATATGGTTACGTAACATTCAAATATTAATTAACTATAATCAAAAGGTTATCTTTCATTTCTTGGAAAACAACTTAACCTGCTACGTAGAATTTGAAAGCTTATATCGAGGTTTCACCGATTTTAATGCGGGCATATACGCTAGCAGGCCCAATGAAAAAGGAACTATACAATATAAACATGTATGTAACATAACAATCAAATTACCCGAGCAATTATATAGCTTAATTTCAAGTGATGACTCACTAATAAGAAGCTATTCCATCCGACTTCGTCCGAACCAAAAGTCCTTTCCATTTTGACCGAATTCCGAACGACGAAGTCCTTCCCATTTTGAGTAATATGAATATCCGACAAAGAACGAATTAGAAAATTCGGTTCGTTTTTTTTTCCGGGCGGTTCAGGGGTTCAAACCGCTATCCAAAACGGTTTAATTCGGTTCGGGCGGTTTAGAGTCTTCTTCTCATCCATTTAATTTCCGGTTCGAACGACCCGCTTTTCGGCGGTTTTTTCGGTTGAACCGGTTATTTCGTTTTTCCCACCCTAAGTGAAGATAGGGTTTTGTTTTGGGGGATTGGGTTTGGGTTTCGGGTTTACTTTTTTCCATCCGCTTTTTTTTTTCTTTGCATCAGCGTATCCCAGCTGTGTCCCATAACTGTTTGACCGTGTCCCCCAACATGTTGACCACTGACCCGTGTCGGACACGGATTGACCGTGTCCGACACGTGTCGTGCACGTGTCGTGCACGTATCCGTGTCCGATTCGTGTCGGACACGGATACGTGGCCTCTGGGGATGAATCCGTGCTTCATAGGCGACCACTATTCGCCCCGCTATAGCCCCGCTATTGGCCGCTATTTACAACACTGATTAAATATATTAAAACTTAGAAGGAGGTAAGTTCAAAATGTAATACTTAAAAAAAATAGGAGGCTGTGCTTTACACGGGGTGCACACTAGTATACAATAAAAGGAGCTACAAGTATAACGAAAGATTCAAGCTGTAGGATAACATGGGCTACATGTTGATTTTTGAAACATGTAATAAGATATATACGTGTTTCTTGGTGCATTTATTCCTATTTGCAAAAAGTAAATTTCTTTAGCTTCCCAAACAGAGAGTACCTTCCACAGACAGTGCAGCATGAACCATGAAAATGATTTAGTCTCTCTGCTTCTAGGTTTTCATCATCGAGATCTGGATCAAATAGTACTAATGTGTGGAAATTTCCATCATAGGCATGAACAGTAACCATTCTAGGGCAAAACAATTAAACAATGTATTATCCAATAAGCTACACCTTAGAAGTTCGGTGAGAATAAAAATCATTTCCAATTAAACATTTAGTAAAGATAATTTTAAAGTGTAAATAAACGGTCTATTTATAAGTCTTAAGAAGAATATACCACAATAATGATGAAGCAACAAGCTCTTCTTTTTATATTGCTACACATTCTCCAGATATTGATAAAGGGAAAACACATCCTGGGTTTAAAGGAAAAAATCAGAGTGACTGAAAAGTTTCATCGATATGTAATTAGTCATGCTAAGTTCTATGAAGTATATCTTGATCAACGGTGTATATAATAGCAATAACAGGGAGAGGTTAGGAGAAATGTAGATCTAAGCAAACGGACAAGCTAAAAACAGTTAGTGAACATGGACCATATCATGCTGCTGTTTATGAGGGAATTCGGAGTTTCGCATATTAGAAATGGCTATAAGTTAAGAGAGTTATAAAAGAAAATGACTCATTCCTACGATTTTTCCGCATATATACCCTTATCTTTCTTTAAGGGAAAAAAAGCCGATTTTCATATTTACCGAGATGACTTTGCAATCTTACATTCTATTACTCTCCTTTAAAAAATTCCATACCACAAAATACTTTTTTTAGTAAAGATTAAAATAATGGTAAAACAACAAAAATAATTCTAAGCACAAATCCAACAGTTCTATATACCTTCTGAAGAATAATACAGGATAATGATTGAATAGTAATATGCTTACTGCAGCAGATGGTGATGGCCAGTGTCAACAACGAATTCTTTTAAAATAAAACAATATTTTGAAAATACTGACTTTTACCTGGGGGTCTAATTAGGTACATTACTTGATGCCTAAGCTTGGCGCTATTAACTTTGAATCTTCTGACGATACTTTCATCTGGGTCTTTAAGGTTACCAATCTTATCAAAGGGTCCCTGGAAGAATAGCAGAACGGAAGTTGTCAGCATCCTCGCGATGTGGACTCTACAAGATTTACTTTGCCCTTAGTTTACTCAATGTGAGGTGGTTATGAGTTAAGGGAAGAAGAAAATTTAGACAGAAATTTAGACACAGACAGCTACATCCATATATTGGTGAGAGTAGTTAAATTCAGACAAAAAGGTCTGACCCTGGGAGGCAAAGTTAATGAACTGATTTAGGCAAAGATATGGAACAAAGTTGTAAACTCATAAGACTCATAACTTTGTTCCTCCGTGCTGACCCCTTCACTTATATCTGAAAACATCTGAGAAACAACATGGGTTACACGAGATTAGGTTAAGTTGGAGAACTAGCCCTGGTTCCTCAGCATCTTCCCCTTCCATTTACATCTTCGGGACTGACACAAGATAGTAAAAAGCCATTATTCTCCTAAAGGTAACAAATTTATGCTAAAGGCAACAAGGTAGACTCAAATATAACAATTAATAGCTAAAAATTGAAAAGTTTAAAAAATTTAATATCTAAAGATGACAAAGCTCGACTCAAAGGTATGCAATAAGAAACTCTTTATTTTGCTAAAGGAATGATACATGTAACAAGCTAGCCACAAACATAACAATTAATAGCTAAAAGTGACAAAGTTCAAAACAATTAATAGATAAATGAGATAAAGCTTAACATGAAGGTATCAAATAAAAAAAAATATTTTACTGGAGGTAACCAACGTACGATAAAGGTAACAACTCAGACACAAACGGGACAACTAATAGCTAACAATGACAAAAATTCATAACTAATGTAACAATTAATATTAAAGAAGACAAAACTCGACACAAAGATACGAAATAAAAACAAAAAATCTTTGTTTCGCTTCGCTAAAGGTAACAAGATTATGTTAAAAGTAACAAAAGTTAGACACAAAGGTAGTAATTAATAGCTAAAGGAAACTAAGTTCAAAACAAAAGTAATAAGTAATAGCTAATGGGGGCAAAGCTCAGCAAAAAGGTATCAAATAAAATTTTCATTATTTTTCTAAAGGTAACATACGCTAAAGGAAACTAGCTAGAATAAATGTAATAATTAATAGCTAAAAATGATGAATTTCAAAACAAATGTAATACTCGACAGATAAAGGTGAACAAAGCTCGACATAAAGGAATCAAATAAATAATTCTTTATTTCACGAAAGATAATGTATGGATAAAAAGGTAATAGTTAACTGTGAAAAAATTCAAAACTAATGTAACAATTAGTAGCTAAACGTGAGAACCCAGCTAAAAGGTATAAGATATGAACTCAATTGTTTTGCCAAAGGTAACAAGATTATACCAACAATAATACGTTAGACACAAAGGTAACAATTAATATTTAAAAGTGACAAAGTTCAAAATAAATGTAACAACTAATAGCTAAAGGCGGCAAAACTCGACATAGGTATCAAATAAAAAACTTCATATTTTACCAAGGAAAAAAAGTTATGCCAAAGGTAACAAGTTAGACATAAATATAACAAAAAATAGTTAAAGGTGGTGAAGTACAAAACAAATGTAACATTTAATAGCTACAGATGTGAAAGCTCGACATAAAGGTAAAACAAGAACTCTTTATTTTGTTAAAGATAATGAAGTTTTGCTAAAGGTAAAAGTCAGCCACAAAGGTAAGAATGAATGGTTAAAAGTAACAAAGATTAGAATAAATATAACAATTAATAGGTAGAGGTGACAAAGGTATCAAATAAAAAAAAACTCTTTATTTTGCTAAAGGAAACAAAATTGTGTTAAACATAACAAGTGAGGGATAAAGGGTAGCCACTAATAGCTAAAGAGAACAAAGCTCAAACAAAATTTTACAATTAATATCTAAAGTGATCAAAACGAGCACGGTGGTATCAAATAAAGAAGTCATTTTTTCCCCCTAAAGATAACAAAATTATGCTAAATGTAACAAGATAGATACAAAGGTAACAATTGATAGCTATTGGTGATTTTCAAACTATTTGTTTTTACAGTAAATTTTCATCTTATGAGAGTGAAAAATAAGCTATATGATATCAAGTACTCAACAAGAAACAGCTATAAATGGTAATAGCACTTTCAAGAGAGCAAGAGTTCAAAAGAGTTGGAGAGAGAGTTTTAGAAGGGAAAAAAAACGTTGTGCATTCAAAACTACCTATCTTTAAAGGCAAATGTCTATTTTAGGACACTAAAACCCACATAATATCAATTACTCAGCAAGTATATCTGTAAAAAGTAATACCATTTTCTTCATAGACAGGCAAGATTCGAATTTGAAAATATGGTAAGGTGTAAAATCACATAAAGGAATATGATAAATATCTACCACGTGAACCCCAAGTAAAGAAACTGAAAAGAAAGTAAATTATCACTGTAAAACTTGAAACACAAAGATTCCATAGAAATTAATAAGAAAACAGGAAGAAAAGAAGTTCGTACTTTCATTTTACAACTTTTATACACACTGGGGTAGCCCTCTTGACTGAACTATGCCAGCATTAGCACTCTTGATGCAGATTTTTTATTAAGACAACATAATTATTTTCATTTACTTTACATGGGACTCTTTTAAGAGGGTCTTCTTACCTGCATATGGTCTTATTCTCAAGGATTTTATTGAAGTATACTACTTTAACTGAAACAAGAGTCCAGTTCGTAGCTCAATGAGAGGATCAAAATATTGTAGCCCTTTTGACTGAACTATGCCAGCATTAGCACTCTTGATGCAGATTTTTTATTAAGACAACATAATTATTTTTATTTACTTTACATGGGACTCGTTTAAGAGGGTCTTCTTACCTGCATATGGTCTTATTCTCAAGGATTTTATTGAAGTATACTACTTTAACTGAAACAAGCGTCCAGTTCGTAGCTCAATGAGAGGATCAAAATATTGTTCCTATGCAAGATCACTCTGTATACAAGGAATTTACACGTGCCAAGTAGTATCTCCTGTCGGCAAAATGCGGGAATTTTCCTCATTGTAATCTTGTTTTGATGTAATAGTACTTTTCTTTGATGGTGACATATTAGATTATCAGCAAGAAAAGATTTACGGAAATGGTCAATGGAACTCCTAAATGATTAGTACCGAGAAAAACAAACATTCAATAGAGAATCGCTTTATTAAAAAGTAGAGTGAGGTCGGTATCAACCCTTAAAATGTTTCAACCTTAAATAGGTGAAGGATCCTGCAAAATTTCAATTGAGGATTCATTTCCAAAGACTAGCATTATACAACAAAAACCAGTGCTAGAACCTCTAAGGTTTACATGAAAAAAGATGCCAGAAACATGCTCGATAAAATGCCACATTGAGGAAGCAAAAAAAATTCCTTGAGATCGATACATACAGATATAGACAACCTCAAGAGTTAAAGAATGGAATCGAAATTTGCATTAGGAGTAAACAAACCAACTAAACCATTACCTGTAACGCAAAAACGAAAAGGGAGAACGAATTTCCAATCCTCCTCTTACACCAACAAACATTGGGGTTTTGATTGCTAGTCGCTAGGGTTTTGGCTCCTTCGTCTCTGATCCTACAAAAACCCTAATGAAGGGAGGATTTCTTTTCCCCGGTATTAAAGGGAAAAAAAAAAGCCAGATGCTTGATAAAATGCCTCAATGTAATGCCTTTGCAACGTATCATGAAAAAAAAATCACCGACCTCGGTACATATAGATACAATCACATAAACTAGGGGGAAAGCCGCGAGATTTAAAGGACGCACTTGCAATTTGCATAAAGAGTAAAAATTTCAAGTAAGCGATTGTCTCTCACACAAACACTTAAACGGGGAAAAGAATTACCGATCCTCTTCTTCTATGTCGACATTAGGGTTTGGCCCTCTAGGGTTTGAGCACCTTCGCCTTTGATCCTACAAAGACTCCTAACAAAAAGAGATGGGGAAAAAATTCCAATATGGAAAAAAAAGGACAGATGCTCGATAAAATGCCTCAATGCAATCACGACAAAAATCACAGAGATCGATACATATAGATACGATCATATAAACTGCTGGAAAAACTCGAGATTTAGAGAATGCACACGCAATTTGCATAAACAATTAATAAAAATAAAAAAAATAAAAAAAATCTATATCTCTAAGACAAAAACTCGAAGGGAGAAGAATTACCGAATGTGGACGTTAGGGTTTGGCTCGCTTACGGTCTGTGGCTCCATCGCCTCTGCCCTCTTTCTTTCCGCCCTCTCTTCGCGATTTGAAATGTAGATAGAGTGAGGTATCATCGTATCGACCCCCCTCTATTTATACAACAGGAATAAAATTTCCGCGTATCGTTTACGCGTCTGCGTATACTTCACGACCAGCGGTATAATTAGCGCGTCTCTGTATGCGATACGCGTACGCGTATAAGATACGCGACCGCGTAGCCTATACGCGTATAATTCAAGCGGCTACGCGGAGCAGGGGAAAGAAAAAGGCCGATTGGACTACCTATTTGTTCTGTTGGCATTTAACCATACTAGTTCCTTCCATCATTCGTATCTTAGAAATTTGTCCTCAAATCATTGAAATTCCTATTAGGTTCGCCAACTGGGCCGACTCTTATATTATTTTGAAATCAGAATCATTGAACTTTTGCTATCAGGTCCCCCAGATTGAATCAAATTAAGTAATTAACCCACTACTACTACTCTCGATTTGAGGGACAAATTTCAAAATAACTTGAGAATGAAATCGCGACCATTACTACTACTCTCGATTTGAGGGACAAATTTCAAAATAACTTGAGAATGAAATCGCGACCATTAACCCAGCACCCAAGCTTGGTGTTAATAAATGTGAATCTTCTAACAATATTCTTGTTTCGGCTTTCGAAGATTATGAATCATAACAAAGAGGCTAGTAGAGGGAGGGACACGGACACTACAGCCCGAATCATAACAAATGGTCTTGTGAAGAATAGAGCAGGACGGGGCATCTTACCGCCATGACAACATTCACAATTATTGTGACATACTTATGTACTGCTTTCCGCAAAAAAATATCCTACTAAAATTTCTAATGCTAATTAAAGCTTTTGATGAACAAATATGACAGCAGATCTACTATCATTATTAATTTGACAAACTAATATTATATGAAATCTACAACCCTGTTCTGTGTAAATAGCAATTGGCAGTTCATTTTATCTAACTAGTATGTACAAAATTATCTTTGACTATTAACAAAAGATAAAAAATTATTAAAAAAACGCTTGATTTTGACAAAGCAAAAGGTGGGGGAAACGGTTTGTTTTCTTCATTCAATGAAATGTGTAAGCACCAAGAAGTTCCACTCATGTCTTCGGCCACTTCCAGTCCACTCCTGGTTCATTTCTCTTTACCTTCATATATATCTGAAACCGCACAAACTCGACGGAATAAAAATGATAATAAGTGTTTCAATTAACTGATGTTGCATTTGTAGGAGGAAGCTCCGTGACAACACTTTTAACAGCTCTCATGCCCCAGGCCCGTGAGCCCGTTAAGCGGTGTAATCCGTGAGACCCACCGAGCGCACAGCGTGTGGGTTTGGCTCGACTTACTGCCAAACTAGCCAACATTGCACTAGTTTTTGGTTTTACTATGTAAATCAAAGGTGGGGACTATAATTCTTCGGGGTATCACAGATTCACAACAGCGAACTTAAAAGAGTCACATTGGCACGACGTATCTTCATTTTGATCAGAAAAACTGTGGAAAAGGGGCATCAAATTCTCAAATCAGAGCATTTATAGTTTGAACTATAATTAACAGGCGACTCGAGTAACCTGAACCCCTCCGAATTGCTCACATAGTACCAGCCCTGCACAAACACAAACGAGGATGAATTAAGAAGGGATAATTCACATAGGCCCCATGTAGTTTCATTGTTGCAGATAGGACTCCAGGTTTTTTTTTTTTTTTTTTGCTCTTTTACCCTTCAGTAAAATTTTGGCAGACATGGGGTAATTAGTGAGTTTATATGAGGGTCAAAGAGTCAAAAAAAAATTAACGGTGTATCCTGTTGGCTATGTTGTGGGAGAAAGGGCAATTTTACCTTCAATGAATAGTCCCACATGGACTACATTAGTGAATAGTAGAGGATTTAAATTGGTACTCCTATCTTGTTGAGGGTCTTTGGCTAACACGCGCGCACGCCACGTTTTGAATTTTTCAACTTCTTTTTACACGTTTTTCACGTGAAGAACGTGCGTAACGGATGCACGTTTTTTGGAGAGCATGCAAACGGTCGAACGTTACGCACGAATTTAGCGAACGTTGCGCGGGGATTTCTCAACGGCTAAGGGTTTCTCAACCCTATATATATAGCGCCTCTTACCAGCTCGGAAACACACAACAACGAAAGTTTTTCTCCCTCTCAAAAATTTGCTATTGTTACTTATTTTATTTAGGCAATCTTCTTCATCTGAACAGAAGCTCTATACTCTCGCCCGAGTACAGAGACCGACTGTTTCTGGGGGTTTTTACCGCTAGGGAAGAGGGATTATCTGAGCCAGGGCGATAGGCGGATCCTTAATTTTCTAGGACAGTTCTTGCACGACTGCTATCAGATCATGCCAGACTTTTCTGTTTATTTTATTTTCGGATTTATTTGCATGCTATAAGTTTACTTAATAATTCTCTAACATATCCTGGGTTGTGTCTGCAGCAATGCACGACAAGGGTAGTCAGTTCATAGCGATACTACTAGGGCCCGGTCTCTTCTTCTAATACCTGCAATTTTTTTTTAAAAGAAAATAGTCCCTTACATGGTTACATGGCTACATCTTAAATATTTTAAAATTATTCTCTCTAATCATTGAAATTGCTAAAATTGCTATTAGATGCTGGAACTCTTAATTCTTTTTGAAACTAGTCCCAAAAATCATTGAAATTGCTGTTGGCTCTTCTGTTCTCTTAAGTGGTTTCAAAATATTTCCTCTAGTCTTAAATTCTAGTTCTGCTTTTGATTAGAGGGACTAATTTCAAGATTAAAAATCTTATCAAAGTGGTTAGGGAGGACAAGTACATAATTGTAGCAAAAGTATCTACTGCTTTGCACATAAAATATCCTTCCATATTAATGAATTAAAACTTTTGATAATAAATTACAAGCAAAAATCTACTATTCCTATTAGTTGCACTATATAATATGTACTGGGAATTTACAACGATGTCCACTGCAAATAGCAATTGGTAATTCACTTTCTTCGACAAATATATATAAAATGGCTTGGCTACAAGATAATTAGAAAGTGATTGATTACGGCAAACTTTGCTTGTAATTTATTATCAAAAGTTAATTTTGGCATTCGACAAAATGTATAAGCAACAAGAAGTTAAACTAATCTCTTTGGCCACTCCCTGTCAACTTCCTCTTCAAGATTATTGCCGCCAACTATGGCTATAAATGCTAGTCTCCACAATCTCACGGTGGATTTAAGAATGATGATAACAGTGTAATTAACCAATGATGCATTCACATGAGAAACCTCCATGACGACAATTAACAGCGAAGTTGAAGTCACATTGGCGGAACTTCGCTTACATATATCCTTCAGTTTCTATCTTCATTCTTCATCAGACTACAGCATGAAGAGGAAAGCTGTGGAAAATGCGCCTCAAATTCTCAAATTTGTAGCATTCCCTTAATTGCAAGTTCTTCCTCTATAATTTCAGTTATAATTCACAAGCGCCTAGAGTAACCTGAACCCCCGCACTTCTTACATAGTATCAACCCTGCACAAGTACACCAAGGAATCATTGAGTAAAACATGTACACTTATAAGGGAAAAGAACCAATGTTTAATGCATCATTGGAAGATAAAGGCTCGTCAGTAATCAGACAATAAACCAATATGTGGGTATGAAAGGGTCCCAAAACCAGTATAATATATGACAACAAAATATGCATCACCCTCCGTAGATGGTGCCAACTGCTGAGCACCTAATCGACTCAACTACAAGCAAGATATGGTTCTGGCAATCACTATTCACTTCATACACTTTCTCTCTCCTCTATGCTTAATTGTTCGCTTTATGTTCTATAATATTTACATTCTATGCAAATAGAGACGATCTTTGTTCATCAGTATAAAAAAGGAGGAACAGGATAAAAGTTATGCAATAACCTTGAGTGACAGCATATCTGCTACAGGCTACAGCTATTGCTGGTTAATGATTTGATGAGCAGGATCGATGCCAGACAGACGCAAGCATATTAAAGATTTAAAGACGGGTTTTATCATTGCTGGCCATAATTGAAAGCTGGGATAGAGTCTGTATTACTTTTTTTTAATTACATCATGGGCTCTCTTTCGCCTTTATATTATTGCACGCTCCGTTTTATGTTAGATGATTCCATATGAAGATCCTATGGTTATTTAGTTGTAGTTGATTGTGTATGGACTCGGTGAAGTTGTTGACATCTTTATTTTGTTCTTTTCGATTTCAGATGTTCAGTGTGCTTTCAAGCTCAAAATACTACTCTGTGCTTCTTTTGTTTCCTTTCTGAAAACTGTACTTCAAATATCACATATAAATGACAGAGGTTGGAGGTATAATCTCCTCTGCACTAAATTATACTAATTATCATATTTTTTCTTTTGGAGCTGATTTTTGGGCATCCACCCTTTGGGGGGGAAATAAATATGGGCATGGAACCTAGCAGCAAAGATCTGATCCTTAATACTTACAAAAGCACATCACAGCTTGACCCCCAGTGATCCAATAATCATTGCCCAGAAAAATGAAGGTGTGTAACTGTTGTTTTTTAGATATTACTGTTGATTTTAAGTTAAAGTTTATTTAGTTATGAGAGCAGAAAAAAGAAGCAAAGTTATATTCACATTAGTTTCATAATGCTCCTTATTGTTGATAGTTCATCCCCATAACATTCAATAGCACATTTTTAATACAGAAATAATTTAGGCAACAAACGTTTGATAGTTACATTGATGTTTATGATTATAACAGAGATCTTCCGAAGGGTTAACATACTTTCTTATATTTCATTTCTCCTCCTTTAATGCTTTTGCTTTTCTTTTTTCTTTTCCCCCCTCCTACGACGCTTTTATCTTTCATATCTCCAAGTTTGTTTTAATCATTCTTCCATGCTCAAATCTGAAAACAATTGTGTGCATATGGCTAGGAATATTAAGGGGGTGCATAATCGAGATTATCGAAGTAAACCAAATAGAATATCGAGTGAAAAGATGATGAATATTGCAACATTATACATGTTATCCATTGAAAGCAATGGAACAAGAAAGCTACAGCATCAATTCCCTCATACTCAACACATCATATATGGCATCAATATTACAGTTACTAAGAAAAAGCCATACCTGCACCTTTGCACACTCGGCAATCAACCAACCCAGTTTCTTTCTTCATCTTTCCATCACTGCAGAACACACACTTTGTTCCACCTAACCAGTGAGAGTAGATCTTTAATCAGTGCCTCCTTCTGAGTAGAATATAGTGGAGTTCATGCAAGCAAATTAACTACACTTATGCTGGGGGGGAAAACAACCAAGTGGCTCCCATTAAGTTCTCATTGTAGATTGTCCTGTGCAGTTGAATATTTCCTTAAGCAACTAAGGAGGTGTGACTCTGAACAGTTTAATGTTCTATTTTAGGAGAGAGTTCGATCAGACTTGAGACAATAGGAGGTGAGGAATACAGAAAGACCTAGATGACCACATTCCCTTGCTTAGTAATACAATTCAGTTCTATGCAAAAAGTAAGCATAATCTTGCATGGGTCCCTAAACTGATCTGTGCATACTACACCTTAGAGGAGTTTGATCGGTGAGACAATAGGAGGTGAGATACAGACCTAGATGACCCACATTCCCTTGTTCAGTAATTCTATTTCAGTTCCACACAAAAAGTAGTAAGCATGATTTTGATGACTTGATAAACTGACAAGTGCAACGTTATAATTTGTAAGAGGAGTTCAATTGTTGAGATAATGACAGATACACGTCAACCTACATGACCATATTCCCGTATTAGTAGTAAAATTTCAATTCCATATAAAATTTAGGCCAAATAGCGCTTAAAGGTCTCATAGTTTCACTCTTTTTCTTTTCAGTCAGTATAGTTTCACTCACATAGCACTTACATAACCTCACTTGTTTTTCGTAGCATTTTTATACCTTCGTTTAAAATTGGCACGTTGCTACCCTCTATCATGCAGACATGTATATTTCGACGAGAATGTTCGTCTATGATACTTATAGGCTAACTATAAAGCTTTCTAACCATTGATATTTTTTTTGAATTTATCGTTAAACCGATCCCAACTTTAATTTAAAATAGAATTAAGATAAAGTTTAAACTAGAATTTGTTGTGCGCAGCGGAAATTTCGGCAGAGTTTCTGGTGCACAATAAGAGAGAAAGATCGATAATAAGAATTCCCGTCTCACCAAGGAGACAAGAATCTGAAGCGGATATCTCAACCAAGTGAGATATCGGCTCTTCCTCTCATCAGTTCTAGGACTGACCTGTCGAGGGATCCTAAAAAAGCCCAAGAAAAAACCCACAACTGCCTTTTGCACGCCGTCCAAGCCTCTGCCTCTGCACAAAACTTCTGCAGTAACTTTTTAATTCTCCGCTTCCCAATCTTGCACCTGCACTCCCACCTTGCACGCACGAAGCCGCAGCCAAGAAAAGGACAGCCGAAAAAATTCTTCAAAAGCCGCACTCTGCTCTGCGCCCAAAACAGAAAAAAAAAACGCTGCCTTTTTCCCCTCAACCTTCGCACGCTGACCTAGAAATCTCGTAAAGGTATTTATATACCCGCTGAACATTCGGGTGGGCCTTGGGCCTTCGTTGGGTGAAGAGCTCATGCGCAAATCTTTCACGCATGCATCTTTCTTTCATTCACGTGGTCCCCACTAACTTCACGTGACCAATCAACAATTCTTCACCTCGGTGAAGTTTTTCCAAAACTGAGCCGACACCAACCAAACCAAATGTCTCACTTGTTGTGTCCAGTACACCGTGAAACAATTCACGACTACAGACTCAATCCATAACAAGTCGAGAACCCAAATGAGAATGCAAACACTCTCCAAATGTCAGTATCAACTCACCAAATCAATCTCACCCCTATCAAAATCCAAACCGGCTGCATCATAAAGACTGCCTACCTCTTGCCCAAGGAATCAAGCCGAACGTAGTTCACCCAAATGGCCGCGAACGACCTCAATCCAATAGAAGAGTTCGCAACCCTTCTCCAATATCATCAACTCTGCGGCTGATAGCACCTCCAATGGCCTCAAACACCTCCACCTGAGGCGAACCAATGACCATATCCAAACTACGTCTATCAGCTGCACTCGAATCAAAACTCAACTCATCATCTGCATCCACAACAAATTGATCTCCAAACTGTGTCACCTCAGCTGGAATCCCAACCAATGCAGAATGATCTGGAGTAATCTTCACCCAATGTGGAGTAGCATCACTCTCCACCCGCTGCGATACCTCTAAGGTCTGTCCAAAACTCTCCACCTGCTGAGAGTCAACCGGCTCCCTCATCAAAGCCTCAACCAAAGTGACACTACCAGACCTATCTTCCAATGAAGTTTTACCTCCAATCACAGCAGTTGACAACTCTTTAATAGGATGACCCAAATATGTCGAAGCCTCTGTCCAGAAACTCTTCTGCAAACCATTGCTCGACCACAAACACCGCTCCTCCTCCAGTAAGGCACGGTTCTCCAAATTTTTCACCTTATCTAGTTGCCCCAAGATTTCCTTTCCAACGAAGTGTCTCGCAATGCCGTGAGCTCGGCTCCAATGCAGAAACAGGTCCATCTTGTACCTCCCACCGGAATGGAGTACCTTCACCTTTTTGTCTATTACACACTTCTTCAATCTGTTAGAGACTACTAGGACTTTCTCCATCGGGGATTTGATTGCAACCCAAACATGCCTAGAACAGTCACCAACAAAGGAAACCAAACTTCTATTACCTCCCAATGATGCCCCCTTGGAAGGCCCCCAAACATCCACGTGAACTCCTCCAGAACGACCCTTAGCACGGTGAATAGAGGTGCCACACTTCACCTCGGTCTTCTTGCTCACATCAACATGTTCACTGGACTTCAAACTGCAGGTCTTTGCACCCTCTTTCAATCTATGCGAGGAATCAATACTGGAATGGTCAAGCCCCAAATGCCGCAGTCTAGTCGAATCAACAAAAGTCGCCAGTTCTCCACCTGTCACTATACCTCCAGTCAAGTAATACAGGTTATTCCTCCTGACGCCCTTCATTACAATCCGAGAGTCTTCCACAATCTCGAGAATCATGTCCTCAACACGAACCTTCAGACCCTCTCCAACCAAAGCTCCAATCGAGATCAAGTTCTTCCTCAAAGAAGGAACATATCTCACATCGTTTAACTCTCTAACAGTCCCGTCAAACATCTTTATGCGAATTCTTCCTATCCCAAGGATCTGGCATGCACGGTTATCAGCCATGTATACCACATCACTATCCACCAGCTTCTCAAAACTGGAGAACCATTCCCTTTTAGGACACACATGATAGGTCGCACCACTATCCAACATCCATTCAGATTCCTCCGAATAGCTATCTGTAGGACTGATTGAAAGCGAATAAATAGAAGAGTCAGAATTATTACCATCCGATACGATGTTTGCTTCTGATGATGGTTGCTTTCCTTTTCCCTTCTGCTTATTCTTTATCCATTCGTCGAGCTTTGGGCAGTTTTTCTTCCAATGACCAGTCTCCTTGCACCAAGCACACTGATCTTTTCCTACTCTAGACTGTGACTTCCAATTCTTTCGGTTTGGATTCTTCCCTCTTGCGACCAACGCCTCTGCTACCGGCTCAACCGAAGCCTCCTTATCCTTCTTTCAAAGCTGATAATTCACAAGTACAGCGGTGACCTCACTATACGAAAGTGATGCCTTCCCATTAATCAGAGTAAGAACGAATGTCTCATATTCCTCGTCGGGCAAGGAACTCAACAACAACAACGCCTTGTCCTCATCTTCAATTATGACATCCACATTCGCCAAATCCGCAAGAAGCTTTGTGTAGTGGTTCATGTGATCTCTAATGGAGGTTCCCTTCTTCAACTGGAAACGATAAAGTCTCCTCTTCAAATGCAAGCGATTTTCCACACTCTTGGTCAAATACTTGCTTTCGAGAATCTCCCAAATCTTCTTCGCAGAAGTCTCATTCATCACATCATATTTTAGATCTTGAGTCAAACAAGACCTAATCACACCACACGCCGTTCGATTCATCTTTTTCCAAACCTTCTCTTCAATCTCATCTGGCTTGCCATCTAACTCCAAGGTATCCTCCAAATTCTGCGCGTTCAGCGCATCCAAAACCTCGCATCTCCATAATCCAAAGTTGTTTGTGCCATTAAATTTTTCCACATCTATCTTCATAGAATGGATATTCAGACTTTGAATGGTCTTCGCGCCAGAAGTACCGCCCTCGACACCCGAAGCACCTTCTTTCTCCGACATCTTACGCACCAACGAACGAAGAATAGATCCAAAACTAAAAGATAGAGTCTTTATCAAAAGATCCCACCTTTATCACCAACGAAGCCCTAAATCGGCTCTTCCTCTCATCAGTTCTAGGACTGACCTGTCGAGGGATCCTAATAACTATTACAATGGCCACAAACTCAAACAATCAATTTTACGTGGTTCGGCAAACTGCCTACGTCCACGGGGCAAGGAGGGGGGATCTATTATTAGAGAGAAAATACAATAGGTTTACAATCTTACAAACTAAACCCTTAAACTAACTCTCTAATCTCTCACAAAACAGCCACCAAATAGGATTTTTCTCCTCTGCACGAAGCCCAAGAAAAAACCCACAACTGCCTTTTGCACGCCGTCCAAGCCTCTGCCTCTGCACAAAACTTCTGCAGTAACTTTTTAATTCTCCGCTTCCCAATCTTGCACCTGCACTCCCACCTTGCACGCACGAAGCCGCAGCCAAGAAAAGGACAGCCGAAAAAATTCTTCAAAAGCCGCACTCTGCTCTGCGCCCAAAACAGAAAAAAAAAACGCTGCCTTTTTCCCCTCAACCTTCGCACGCTGACCTAGAAATCTCGTAAAGGTATTTATATACCCGCTGAACATTCGGGTGGGCCTTGGGCCTTCGTTGGGTGAAGAGCTCATGCGCAAATCTTTCACGCATGCATCTTTCTTTCATTCACGTGGTCCCCACTAACTTCACGTGACCAATCAACAGAATTTTTGTAGGTTCAATAATAAATTTGACATATATTAATACTTAAAAATCTCTATAATTATTCTGTAAGTATTATAGAGGAACGTTTGGATGAAAATTTTCACATTTGCATGATTGAGGGTACAAAGATGCCAAATTTAGACAATTCAAGGTATACAAATGCTACGAAAATCAAGTGAGGGCATATAAATGCTAAGTGAGTGAAACTATGAGGTATTTAAGTGCTATTTAGCCTAAAATTTAATCATGATCCACAATCCCTTCTTTAAAAATCCCCCAGCCTGTTGCACAATTAACAGAAGTTTATGACGGTCTGTCCCCCCCCCCCCCCCGCCCCCAAACAACCAACCAACAAAAAAAAAAAAAAAACAGTGACCTTCCATGAGAAAAAGACATCAATATATTTATATTTATCTCAATAACTTTTAAGGTTGCATTTTATGTCCTGTTTAATAATTTTAAATAATTTCCCTCGTTACAAATTGAAAACACTAATTTAATCCAAGTAAGCATGAACAAGCAAAAAGGAGGGAAATCCATGAGAAAATATCTTACCATTTCCAGCACATTTCTCACAAGGCACTGGATCTCCCTATCAAAATTATATCAAAAAAATAATAAACAAAGTTAAATCGGACTTGGAAAAGAAAAGTCGGGAGTCTTTTAACACAATGGAGAGGTGAAGATTGATCTTTTACCTTGAAACCGAGAAAGAGGGATAGGGCAACAGCGGTCAGGACACTCGCGGTGACAATAAGAGTCTGGGTATCAAGCGGCCGGTCAAACAGAGCAGCGTGACGCGGGAGGAGCCTTTGCGGTGCGGTCACGCGTCCCGCGGGGGAGCGGAGCCTTAGTAACACCTCGGGTTTCGAGACCGGCTTCGAGTGGAGGGATGGTGAGTGAGGGAAGAGAGAGGGAGAGAGCGGAGGAGAGAGAAAGGTCGCCATGGATAAAGAGAGTTAGATATAGGTGGAGCTCAGAGAACTGCTCGTTCCTTTTCTGTCCAGATGGCTTATTGTAACCTCCCGGTGACGGTACCTCGGGGTCAGGAGGAATAAACACGGGTCTGAATTTGACGTTGTTAGCTGTAATCGAGGGGCCTAAAGGCTTAATTGCACATAAATACCCTGGAGTTTCCCCTACTTCGCACCCAACCTCACTTGTTTTACATATGCTAAAGTTTTCACTTAAGTACCCTCGCATGCTAATTTTAGAATATTTTAAGCTGTTAACATTTGTTAAATTCATTGTTAAGATATATCAAAATCATATTTTAAAACGGATTTAGGGCAGGCTTACAAATAGAATCGCGATAGTTTTAATAGTAACTTAACAAAAATAAAGGTCGAGAAACTTCTAAAATTAGCATAATTTAGTGTTGTATCACAATCTTTGAGGGGGGAATTCTCTTGTTCTCATAATTTGAAGATATTTAAGTTCAATATTAAAACTTTTTACGGCAGCAAGCGCAAGTCCTAAAAACTTTAGGATATATAAGTGCCGCAAAAAACAAGTGAAAATATATAAGCTAAAGTCTAACAAACTTTGGATGTGTTTGACGACTCTAAAATTTAATTTAATTGGTACAATCTTGATCAAAAACTCTATTTTTTAGATTGGAATAATTGAACCCAAATAGAGTTTTTTCTAGTTCAAAATTAAGTTCTCTAGTGCACGCAATCCGTGCATCATAAAGTGAAATTGTGCTTAAATCAACACTACTATGAATAGATTTTAGAAATTTATTACCATAAGTGATCTAAAGTATCTATCTATTACTATTATTTTAAAAAAAAATCATACTTTATGGATCGATCCTTATGTGGACCACCCCCGGTTTGGTTAAGGAAAAAAATCATTCGAAGCCCAGTTACATTTTGAAGTTGCCAAACATACCCTGAGGTATATATTTAGGCGCTGTGAAAACTAATAAAGAGTATATAAGTATAAAGTAGGGGAAACTATACAATATTAAGTGCAATTAAGCCAAAATCTTTACACTACAACCTATCATCCTTTTCGTAGCTATTCTATACAATCGGGAAATGCATACGTTAGTCTACCCGAAAGCTGAGGTACTTGCGGAAAATATATAAGAAGTATTTGGTTCTAAGTAAATTTTTGGCATTTAGTGTGGATTATACATTTTTAGAATGTTGAATCCCAAAAAGTACAAAAAACATCTATTTTTTAGAATTTGCCAAATCCTCTCCATTCGAGAGGATTTGACAAATCCCATAAGGGGGTGTTAGTCAATTGTGACATTTTCATACAAAATAAGATAATTGTTAAAGTGGAATAATTTTTCGTTAGTGGATATTTTAGTGGGATAAATAGGAACAATTTTGTCAAGCGTGATATTTTGATAAAATAACGTGGGACAATTTTTTATAATCATGAAATATTTTTTTATGCATTTTGAAGATATAAATAATATTTATGTATTTTAAACTTACTATTATTGATTGATAATTGCTTACAATAATGTTTTTTACTATTAAATAACTTTTGGTTAGACTATAAGATATTGACAATTATTATTATAATGATGGTCTAATGATGGTGATAACCATAATAGGAAAGAAGTAAAGGGAAAAAATAAAAAATAAAAAAAAACAAAATAAATATGAGTTCTAGTTTTTTACCATCTAGTTCCAAGTTAAAACTTGGAATAATTTGAGAACTAGAACTCTCATTTTTGTATAGGAAAATAAAAAAATAGGATAATTTTGTACCATTATCTCAATTCTAATTTTGTTAGAGTTCTACTTGACTAATACTGTAAAATTTTATTCTAGTTTTAGTTTTAGGGGCTGTTTGGTTCGTTTGCTTGATATAGAGAAATGCAATTCCATGTAAAGAAACACAAGTTTTGAGTTTTCCAAACTTTTTCAAGAAATAGATTGTTTTGCTTTGGTTCGCACATAAAAAATGGTGGGAAACCAATGTATTTATTTTTCTTGTGTTTGGTTCGCATAGAAAAAAAAAGAAAAACTTTTGTAAACAAAGCAGAGAAGGAAAAAATCTGACGTGGCTGAGTTTTCATCAATTTTACTTGGTTGGGGAAGGAAATCGGAGAGGGAAAAAAATCTTAGTTGGCGGCGATTTCAGCAGAGTTTTCCCTCTTCCATTCGAGCGAACCAAAGCGGCACAAAGAAATGGACGGAAACAAAAAAGCTGACGTGGAGGGCTAAAAATCTTACGTGGAGGGGTTTTCTAAGTTTTCCACCCTTATAATAGCGAACCAAATAGCCCCTTATGTGACTAACACTTTAAAATTTTATCTGACATATTATCCCAGTTTCAATTTTTTAGTTTTAGGTGACTAACCCCCCTCTAAGTGGGTATAATACCCCTCTTTCAATACCTTTGTATTTTATTTTCTATATTCACCTCTCCTTCTTTTTTTAGAATTCGTTATTCTATAATTTAGGTTTGAATCAAACAAGATATTAACAAATTATAAATTTTAATTTTCTATAATAATATTGAACCAAATAAAATAATAAAAATCCTAAAGTATATATGAAACCCTGCGAATTTGAAATTGTTAATGAGGTTACAAATCTCAAAATTTAGCATTTGAACCGAACAGCCCGTAAAAGAGGGTCCTTCCTTTCTCTACTTATTCTGATCTCTCGATCAAAAATCAAATCGTCGCCAACATCCCAAAAAAAAAGGAGGAAATACTCTCTCCGATCATTGTTCTTAGATCTTTACTAGGTTTCTTCCATCGAGATCGAAAACAATGAAGTTTGGCGAGATGTTCAGCAAGTATCTCCATGACGAGGACGAGGCTTTTCTTCACAATTGCTCGCATGTGGAGTACAAGAAGCTGAAGAAAGTCCTCAGGGGCTGTCGAGTTTGTCGAGCGGTGAAAGTGGACGAGGATTTTGACGCTGATCTCGATCCTGATCCTGATCATCAAAGAACTGGCGGATTAATCAAGAAGAGAGAGGCGATCGGGAAAGAGAACGAGAGTGATTCTCTGTTGAGCGCTGAGGCGATCGCGGAGAAGGATCGTCAGGAGCTGTCAGAGTTTTGGAGCTGCGATCAATGTGCATGTAATCGTCATTTCCCTTTTTTTTAATTTTTATTTTGAGACTAATTTACTTATTGTTTTTACTAATTTACTATTGTTTTTTTGTTTTTGCTATTTACTTATTGTGTGTGTGTATATATATATATGAGATTAATGTGTATCCTTGTCATAGGAGGGGATTTCCTCCTATGACGCTTCTAAAATCACATGATTGAGCGACATTATGGATGATCCGCTCCGTTGAACTTGATCTACATATTCTAAAATCCCAACACATCAAGTTTGGGGTGAACCCGTCGTCGTCTGACCCTTCATCCACTCGTATCAATTTTAACGGTTTTGAATGAATAGAACTTTTCACATGGTTCGATGAAGGGTCAAACGACGACGGATTCACCCCAAACTTGGTGTGTTGGGGTTTTAGAATATGTAGATCAAGTTCAACCTATATATATATATATATATCATACTCTCTTTAAAAGCACGAGTTCGGTAAAATCTTTCAGTAGACAAAAATACCCTTGGAATTCAAATATTAATCCATCAAGAGTAAGTTGATAATTATTTGATGAATTCTTATTTGATATACATAGTATGAAGATAATGATACGGTTTAAATTAAAATATAAATCTAAATGAAATTATTAAATGTTAAATTTATAAATGTCTACAAAATGAATGACATATATGCAAAAAAACAAATAAATTAATGAGATAAATAATGTATGCCCCAAAGGTTGAACCCAGGAATAACGTAGACCTACAAATGTACATAATGTGGATGAGATATATATAAAATCTATCAAACAAATTAAAAAGACAAAAGTCATTCTCAAAATTATAAAAAAGAAAAATTAAGGTAAACAAAAATCATGCTCCCTTTAAAAGCATGAGTTCGGAAAAAACTTTTCATAGTCAAAATTACGATGTACTATTTTAAATATTTAATTTAAATTATAATCTATCTAATCATAGTTATATCCTATCCTAGCTCGATGATTTAAATAAGATTAGTAAAATATATGAAACAACTCTGTGGTATCAATTTATTACATGAAGTGTTACAAAAAAGCAAAAGTTTTAAAAATTAGACAAAATACTCTAAAAAATTTAAAATCACACAAAATAAAAAGCTAAAATTTTAAAACTTGGCAAAGAAAAGAGTAATTATTTGATATTTCTTTTATTAAGATATATAAATGTAACTTATAATTTAAGGTTTACTATCTTTTTTTAAGAATCTAAAAAAGTCAAGTTGATGCTGGTAAAAAAATTATAATAATAACAGACTAAAAATACTCAGTCAAAGAATAAAATTTTTAAAAATATATGATAGATTAAATATTAACGTTATTGTATAAATTAAAGTAACTACATATAATTTTATCAATATGTTAGAGTAGCAAAAATACATAAGTATCATTAATTGATAAAAGACTAAATCGCAAAAAACTAATAAAAGGCTATAATATAATAGCTTAACATTAATTGATTATAATTTATAAATATTAATCTCTAATGGTAATAATATTTATAGGGTAAAAATTACAAAGATTTATGTATGGAGTACTATCAGAAAATTTAGAGATATCCTTCAAAAGAATCAAGCAGTTTTTATTTCAAATGGAATTCGAAACGTTCATGAATCACTTTAATTAACACTAACATAAGTTATAACAAAGAAGCACTAACTGAATCCCCCATGAAGTTGAACAACTTTGTTTTAATGAAAGAAACATTCTTCATAGAAGATAAAAGAAAAATTATTATGCCATGACTCTGTGTAAGCAAAAATTATAAAATCATCTTTTTCCTTTTTCTTATATAGTATCACAATCCTGCGTGTGACTTTATTTAAGGGTATGATTACTAACGAATGATCAATTCTTAAAGACATGATCAAAGATAATGATGTAATAGCACTATTAGATTTTAAGATCTCTAAATATGAAGGTAATATATTTCATTACTAAAATTCTTATTAAATGCCACTAAATATAAAATTCACCTTATATTTGTCTCAAATTTATAAAGGAGATATGTATGTCCAGTGTTTTCAATGCGTGAGGCGCAATGCGAGGCGCAAAGCATCTTTACGCGCACATGCGCAAGGCGTAACGCGATGCGCGCGCCCGAGTGATGCGAGGCGCACACCACACACATAATATTTTAATATATGTAATCAAGCGCGAAAGAACATATTTTTAGAATTTACATAAAAAATATCATGATAAATAATATCTTGCTATAAAATCACAATATATTGCCTTAATTTCTAATGCTAACACCCAACATAGTAGTAAATTTCATAAATTTTCAAATCAAATGTTAAATCAAGACTTATATCCAAACTAAGGATTAGTAATGGTCCTCAATTGAAGGTTATTAAAAAAGCCCAATGGATTTATTTTGTTTTTTGGGATATGGAATATCAAGTATAAAGACTCGATTGAAATGTTAACAAAAAAAACTATATGAGGAAATGCACTACATGCATCCTACACAAAGTACGAATGTACGCGAGGCGCAAAAGACGCTGCTGCATCAGATGTGGGGCGCATCGCCACCGCCCCGCATCGTAAGACGCATGAGGCGCAATGAGGCGCGCGCATTTGAAAACACTGTGTATGTCATCATAAATTGCATCAATAATATATATCAACCCAAAAGATACAACTTACTAAAAAAATATGAGAATAGAAAGTAAACCAAGCAATCGTTCATATAACACCATAAAAAATATTATATCGTAAAGTTAATATGTAGCACTCTTTCAGAGTAAGCTGCCAAGACAAAAGCATCTATATTAAGGCTATTTATAAATGCAACAGAAATTGAAATTACTAATATATACAATCCTTATAACATTCGAAAGAGGTATGATCTTAGAAAATCTACTCTAAATTTATACAATCGTTATAATATTCGAAAGAGGTATGATCTTAGAAAATCTACTCTAAATTCATACAATTAAACCTAATAATAGTTTACCAATATACTGACACACTATTGTACTTTTAAGGAAACGATAACTACCATTTATAATACAGTTAAGCAATGATTCTATGTTTGCAAAGGCTGCAACAAGAAAGTAGATAGAGATGTTAATAATAAATGTCCAAATGATAAATGTTGTAGAATCGTCGATGCTATAGTACTAAGGTTAGGTGATATCTCTTTCTCATGAAATAAATATATAAAAATTAAATATTAATATTATAATCTAAAACAAATTGATAATAAAAAATATAATGTACTTAGTTTAGATCCTCATGGAAAATGACACAGACATAGCAAAAATAACATTATGACACAACAAAAATTCTTATTGGATGCACAACAGAATAATTCATTGCAGAGAAAAAGAGGTAGCTCCTAACCTTATTTAAGTAATAAATTAAAAACACAAAAAAATTTATATATATGAAATTAACATTTATTCTTATTAAAATAGAAAAAAATCAAAGTCTGTATTGTTAGAAGTTTGTGTTGAACATAAGAAATATATTCAACTTCTTTGTGAATAAAAAATCAAAGTCTGTATTGTTAGAAGTTTGTGTTGAACATAAGAAATATATTCAACTTCTTTGTGAATTTAGACGAGAAGACAAAAGATGAGTTGAACATAAGAAATATATTCAACTTCTTTGTGAATTTAGACGAGAAGACAAAAGATGAATGAGCCCAGGAAAGATAACATGCTCCAGCCTCATATCACAGTCGATGTAAACGATGAATACACTACTCTAGAATTGACTAGGAAAAAGATAAAAATGAAGAATGATTGATCTCGACTCAATAAAAACTAAAATAGAAGCAATAAAAGATAATATTTTGTGAATTGTTATAGAGTAGTTAATTTTTTTAGTAAAATTAGGAACATTTAGAAGAGATTTTCATAAACTATTTTAGTGCTTTCATATGCATATGTGGGTGCTTTTATCATATAAAAGTGTACTAGAATTAGCATTAATATTTAGTTTATGGTTTTTTTTTCATTAACTATTTTTTGTTATTTTAGCCCACTTTAAATCAACCATATTGGTTCGTTGGCTTTATTATTCATCTATCTTTTATAATGTAATTTTTTTCAAGTGTTTTCACTTTCATAACATTATACTTTCTCAGGTCAAGCTCGATTGCATGGTGATCAAAATAAAATAAAAATTTAAATTGGCTTTAGATTATATTTATCTCGTGAGAATTCAATTATCAACATAAAAATTTAAAACGAGTGTAGCCTATTCAAACAAACATCAAATAAATAAATAACCAAAGTGTAATCGATGAATAAATTTTAGTAAGAAAATAAACCAAATAATACTAAAATTAAAGCGAGCAAAAATTATCAAAGTGTAACCGAGGAACAAATTTTTTAGTAAGAAAATAAAACAAAAATACCTAATCGCAGTATTTAACCACGTGCATTGCACGTGCATAAAATCTAGTATATATATAGGGAGAGGTTTTAATAAAAACCTCCTTAGCCTAAAAACTAAAAACTAATATCATCCATTGGATCTAGATGAATCCAATGGCTGGGAGTCAGTCAAACAGTCAACAGAACATGCATTAATTACCTCAACGAACTCACTGCAGTGAATCTGGATTCACTACAGTGAAAAACGTGTTCGTTGAGGTAATGAATCTGGATTCACTATAGTAAATCTGAATTCACTGTAGTGAAAAACGTGTTCGTTGAGGTAATGAATCTGGATTCACTACAGTGAATCTGGATTCACTGCAGTAAAGGACGTGTTCGTTGAGGTAATGAATTAAGGTTCACTGTAGTAAATCTGGATTCAGTGATTCACTACGTTGATGTAATTAATGCATGTGTTTAATGAGGTAATTAATGCATGTGTCTGTTGACTGTTTGACTGAATCCTAGCCATTGGATGAAGGAGGTTTTTAGTTTTTAGGCTAATGAGGTTTTTATTAGAACCTCTCCCTATATATATATATTTATATATTATATATATATATATATATATATATATATATTATATAATATAATAATATTGGAAAAATGTTCCTGCGGTAACGCCTTAGATATATCTAAGATGCGCAGAAAATCAATTGATTGAGCTAACATTTATAGATGATCCGTCGTTTGAACTGTATCTACATTTTAAAACCCAAACATCAAATTTGGTGAACCAATCGTCGTTGCCCTCGTCGACTTAGGTTGATGAGTTCTATTCATTCGAAACGTTAAATTGATACGAGTTGATGATGTCAAACATAACGGGTTCACCCCAAATATAGTGTGTTGGGGTTTTAAATTATAGGATTAAGTAAACGGAACGGGATCTTATAATGTATCTCAATTACGTGATTTTAAGGCGCAATCCTTAAATGACTATCTAAGCGCACCTTAGGAACTTTCTCCTATATATATATTAGGAGAGAAAAATGGAGAAACTGGTACCAGTGCTCAAAGCAATTTAGTTTGATGTGGCCTAATCTTTCCTAATCTACATGAGTTTGTGAAGGTGTTAAGATTTCTTTGATGTTGATGTACGGCAAGATTACAATCACGACAAGTTGCTGAAAAATTGTACAGGTTCTCCATTTCTCTGCATATATATATATATATATTATATATATATATTATATTATATATTTATATATATATATATATATAATATGGGTATGCTTGGTACCAAGCACAAAAAGTTATGCTTGGTAGTGAGGTGTCAAATCTCCCTCCACTCATTCAAATGTTGGAACAAATTCACATGAGTAATGAGTGAATGGGGATGTGACACATCACTACCAAGCACAAAATTTGTGCTTGGTATCAAGCATACCCATATTTCTCTCTCTCTCTCTCTCTCTCTATATATATATATATATATATATAGTAGGGGGAAAATGCTAGAGAATTTGCTTAAATCTCGAGTTCTCCCTTTCTAATTATGTTTGGTTGAAATCTTGATCACGGAATTGTTGTCCAAACTATTCATGTACATGAAAATCCATTCGCCAACCCTTTTTCTTGGACATATTTCTATAGTATAAATTCGACTCATACGAATCATATGTCAATTAATACCTTTTTCTCTCGCTTAATCAAACTTGTTGGGAATAGTAAGCAACTCGGATTATATATGATTGCCTTGTTTATTGAAAAATTAGCAAGAAGAAACCTTGAGCTGTCCATTAATAATATATTTGGTTGAAATTTTTGGCTTTCATTTGATCATGTAATTGTTGTCCAAGCCACATTCCATTCTATTCAATGTGCCGGCTAACCCTTTTCTTGGCCACACTTCAGTAGTGTAAATTCGACTACATGTGAATAAAAAATGGCAATTCAATACCTTTTTCCCACAAAGCTCCGTTGTAATTTTCTGTTACTGACTCAAATTTCAATACAATACAATAATCTGAGTATCAACTTGGATTATGATTACCTTTGTTTCTTTAAAAATAATGAGAAGAACAATACAGACATAATTTCGTGAGTTTTTGGCCATCATTCGAAATAGCAGTTTTGTTCTATTCACTAAACATTATTCGGGCTCAAATATGACAATCAATTGGCTTATCCTTATTCTTGGACATATTTCAATAGTGTAAATTCGACTACATATGAACCAAACATGACAATGTAATGCCTTTTTTATATGAAATGTGACTGTAAATTTCTTTTGCTTAATAAAATTTCAATAATAGTAATCAACATGGATTATGATTACCTTGTTTCTTGGAAAATACCAAGAAGTCACCTTGAGTTGCTCATGTGATCATGAGTTGTCATTATATTCATAAACATTATTGAAACTCAAAGATGGCACAACCCTTTTTCTTGGACATGTTTCGATAGTTAAATTCTATTATATATGGATCAAATGTGATAGGTTGATACCTGCCACCCCACTGTAAATTTTTTATTACTTAAAACATTTCAGAATAAGACAGAGAGCTTCATATCAACATGGATCATGATTACCTGGTTTTTTAAAAAGTAGTGGAAGAAACCTTGAGTTCTCTGGTTATAATATATTTGGTTCAGCTTTTTGACCCTTATTTGATCATGTAATTGGTGTTGAAATAGCAGTTCATTCTATACATAGTTATTATTCAGGCTCAGATAGGAGAACCTACCGGCCAACCCTTTTTTCTTGCACATATCTCAATTGTGTAATTTGACTAAGTATGAATCAAATATGACAGCTTAATATTTTTTTCGAACCCCACCAAAATTTCCTTTTACTTTAATTGAAATTCAAGTATAAGACGGTAATCTGAATATCAACTTGGATTATGATTGCCCTTTTTAAAAAATAGTTGCTAATCTGTGTCTAAGCCAATCAACATGGAAATACTTCATGAACTGGGTTCTTTGTTAGTCTATTTGTTCCCTAAAAGACTGCTTAGTGCTTCTACTAAGAACACTTGCTTTTTTAGTGTGCGATGAAAAGTTCTTTTCTGAATTGGCAAGGGAGGCTTCAGAGGTAGCAGGATGTTTCAGCTCAAGAGTAAGGCGTCTGCTCCATCTCCATGTTGCTCCTGGAGGTATTCAGAGATATATGTGGAAACTGCGTCATTGCTTCACAGATGATCAGCAAGTCATGGTTCAAGAAGGAAGGCTTTTACTTGATTATGTTACCATGAATGCTATTGCTATTCGAAAGATATTAAAGAAGTATGACAAAGTAAGTAATTCAACACTTATTGTGTTCCAGATATCCATTGTGTAAATTCTTACATTATTAGTTTAATATATGGCAGGTACATAGATCTGTTACTGGCAGAAATTTTAAGACTGAAATGCATGCTAAGAGGATTGAACTTTTGCAGTCACCTTGGCTAATTGAACTAGGTGCATTTTATGTAAACTTTACAGGGTCGGACATTGGAGAACCTGGAGAATTTTTCAGAAAGTTCTCTTGTGATTTAAGTGGTGCACAACCTGTAATGTCTATGACCTTTTCTGACTCCATTAAGTATGAGTACAGTCTTACATGTGCTGTTTGCCTGGTAAGATGTTTGCTTCCATTCTTCATAATGTTAGATGTTTACTGTTCTGTGCTTTATCTAAATTAAGAAAAAGATCTATATTCCATTTCCATAGTCCAAATATTCAGTAATTTGGAGATGCAGGCCTATTTGTAAGAGGATTTTCCTGTCCTTCTCTTTTCTAAAACCACATTTGTTACTTCACTACTTCTCTGCAAATTTCTTTTCATGATGAATTTAACTTGTTTTTCGAGGGATATGATGAATATCTTCTTGTTCCATGCATAAAGTAATAGTTAGCAAATACTTATGTCGAGAACAATCTGAAAGCCTGACTGGTTGATGGTTGGACTGGAAATTTTCTGTTCGATTTGCTATCAAATTTGCATTCATGGTTTTATGCATTCACCTTTTAAGTAATCACGTTTCTCCGTTGGAGCAGGTTTTGGTGCTTTGCAATTATCTATATTTTATTTTGTTAGTTGGAAATACTTGGGGACCCCCTTCAGATTATTAAACATGTTGAATCAATGTTATCTTATGTATCTCCATGCTCCCTACTTGGCGACCTCCTTCAGATTATTAAGCACGTTGAATCAATGTTATCATATGTATCTTCATGCTCCCTTCTTGCTTGACTGTTTTAATACTCATATTTCATCTCTTTGCTTTGTTTGTTCTTCTCATGTTTCTGTCTTCTTTATTGACTATTTTGATGTATTTTTCTTTTTATTAAACACCTAGCAACTCCTGATAAATTTGTTCATCCCCTTCTCTCTTTCCCCCCTTTTTCTACAGGACACTGTATTTAATCCATATGCTTTGAGCTGCGGACATCTTTTCTGCAAAAGCTGTGCTTGCTCTTCAGCATCTGTGCTGATTTTCCAAGGTCTCAAGACAGCATCTAAGAAAGCGAAGTGTCCTGTGTGTAGATCGGTATGAGATGATTTAATTGTTTCATTTATCAACTTTATTATGCTCCTTGACTTGTATTTTGTGTGAATTATCTCCCTTTTTGTTGCAATGTTGATCCTGATACTAGGTTTTCTTAATGTTTTCCTTTGCATATATGAGACACTAATCCAAGAGCGTTTTTGTGAAAATTTCAAATTTTATGTTATCTGATGGTTCTCTCTTTAGTTTAGACATTATAGTTTTTGGAGGCAACTTGTTTGGCTCTGATTTGCCTGCCTGCGAAGTGTTTTGTTTAGAACAGAACTAACTAAAATCAACACCTCAAAATCTCGAGGTCTCCTATTCCAACTTGTAGGCTTGTTATCAATTTTCTTAAACATTCGCTCGCCAATCTTAATATGACCATTGGATATACATTAATAGAAAATGTCTGAATGCAGTTCTTCCCTATCACATTTGAAACCTTCGGCTAGTTCTGTGTAAAATATCTTGAACGCCCAAGCAAGCTCTCTCATGGATAACTCTTAGACAAATATGCTTTGGTAGGAGTGAATTTCTTAAATGACCTAAAGAGTCAGCAGCATCTAGTTTAAATTACCTCAATGTACATTTTTATCTCGCTGAATCTTCAAGAAACATCACACAGGTTGCTCTTTTAAGAATTCAATAAGAGATGTGTGGCTAGAGCCAATAGTAAATAAAATAAGGGTCATAATTTTTTCCCCTTCATTTCCTATGACAATCAGGTTTCTTTTACCCCCCAAATTAACTAACAGGTCTCATCAAAATATTAAAATGAACAACCAGTCAGTTGGCATTATGTTTCTTGTTGTAAAATCAGTTCGTCTTCAAAATAACTGTATTGGAGGCTGTATATGAATTATCTTTTGGCACCGACCACTGTGTTTCTTTTTTAACATCAATTGGTTACCATCTTGAGATTGCTACACTACAATCTAAAGTAGACACCCTGTTTATTGATGCTCTTTAATTTTACTTTTATCCACTGGATTGTTCATGTTTAATCTTGAATTTTTGACAAATATTTTTTCCCGGTTTTTGAAAACATCATTAAGTAAATTAATCAGTCTATAATATCTTAACCTCTTTATTACGTCTTTTCATCAAACTCAAGTCCTACTGGTACTGTCTCAATAAACAACCATCTTGGTCTAGCATTCTTCATGTTTAAATCGGATTAACATAAGATTCAAATTGTTTAATAAGGAACTTTTTGAATTAGGGCCTTGGTGCAATGCACCCTAGATTATATATTTGACAGCTAATGCAATAATAAGTAAATGAATGCAAGGAAAATAAGAAACTCATTGGAGGACTGCTTCAGTTTAATAATGACGATCAAGTAGCAATGTGGATTTTTAAAATAAAATAGCAATCACAGCTTTAAAACATTTGAATAATGGGCCACATGTCCATACAATTAGCTGATACTTTCTCAAAACAAACTTGATCAATAACTTGATAGAACTCAAGAGGAAAATACAAACTCTCTAGGTGGACTGTATGGCAAGAAAAGCTTGAGCACTGGTTTCAATTAGGAAGACCTAGATGGGGCTTCTAAGGGTTTTCCAGGCGTAGAAGATTTGAGAAAACACAGAAGAAAGGATGTAAAGAGGAAATAACGAGACCACTAGCCATGGATAATTTTTAACTCCTGTTTTTTTATCCTCCCTTTTCTAACTCATGAAAAAAAAAAATACTGGACTTCAAGATGGCTTTGGTTTCTTTCTGGATCCATTTAGAGACACCTATGTGCCTTTGCTCAAGTAAATTTTGTGGACAGCGACATAACTTTTGTTTTTTATTGGAATTGCTGTTATTTTTATCCATCACAGATACGGATACATAATTACCATTCAAGGATCGTAATTGTTTTTATAAAGAAACTTGTTAGTTGATGCTTTCTACATAATTCTCATTTGCCTGTTATGGAGCTTGCACTTAACTTCGTAGGAACATCTACCACCAATACAGCAATATATAAAGATCATTTGGCTAGCAGTTATACATGCATGAAAAAGAAATTAAACAAAAAACTTTCAAATATTCCGCCTTCTTTCTCATTGTCTTCATGTGTGCAGGTTGGCGTGTATTGTGATGCAGTGTGTATGCAAGAGCTGGACCTGCTACTGAAGAATAGGTATCTGGAACCTGCAAGATTCTTAACTTATTTTTTATTCTACGCGCCTTATAACGAAACTCAACTGGAAACCTTAGACTCTAATGTCTTCTGCTTCAATCTCTCAGGTGCAAAGACTATTGGAGAGAGAGGCTGAGGGAGGAGCGTGCTGAGATGTTAAAGCAAGCCAAAGAGTATTGGGAATACGAGAGGAGTGCTTTTCTGGGATTTTGACTTTTGAATTTTAGTCAGGGAGATACCTATATAGCTTTTAGCACTACTAAATGTGTTTTTCTTGGATTGCAGTGCCTAGCACAGGCACAACCAAGTAATCAGTTTATGCAGGGTTTGTGCAGAATTCTGTAGCCCTTTCTTGTATATTAGGCTGTTGTGTACTCTTTTAATAACGATGGCGATGTTTTCGATAAACTGTTGTGCTTAGCAGATGATCTGTTCGAAGCCAAGATCTTATTGCAGGGTTTGTGAAGAATTGGTACATAACGGACGTAAACATCGAGGACCTGCAGATCACTTGGTTAGAAAATGCCCACAAGAAGTTGCATAAAAGAAAAGCAACATGTTTGTTTTGTGACTGTCATCAGTTGTTGCTGGTAATAGTTTTGTACTTTGAAATTGTTATTATCTTGTTGAAATCGTCGTTTGTTACTTGAATAATATACGGTCCGTATACCGTCTAATATTGTTCTTCTATGGCTAGCCATTAATAAGCGCTTTTGTGCTATTTTCAGTAGAGATACGTGTTTTATTCAATTTAATTGGGTGATATTAGACGACAGATTTGTGAACTTCCACGTATGAAACCCAACAAAGAGGGGAATATTGCAAAAGCTACGGTGATTGGGATGGAGATATCAGCGTTATGCGTTCTCTTTTTTGGGGGCACATGACTTGAATCTTATTAGTCCTACTGATAAAAAAAATAGTACGTATTTGGTGCTAGTCGGCAGCATATGTTCACCAGATATGACATCTTTTCCTAATATTCTTCTCTACGGATTAAAAATGATAATCAAACTTCATCTTTATGTATCTTGGCCTCTGTTGTCCTCTCGTGCAAGTACCTAACTTGTTTCATATAAGGGCCTGTTTGGTTATTTCCTAAAAACCAAAAAATGGAAATGGAAAAGGTGAAAAATCTCAAAAAGTACTATTTCCTCCATTTTCATCCCTAAAACTCACCCACAACATCCAATAAGATATTATTTTCATCTAACAACTCATCCACATCATCTAATAAAATATTATTTTCATCTAACCACTCATCCATCATATCTAATAAAATATTATTTTTATCTAACAACTCATCCATCACATCTAATAAAATATTATTTTTATCCAAACATCACTCAACTCATCTCTTTTCATCATTTCAAATCACTCACATCATCCAATAAAATATTATAACAATTCACCTCATCTCATTAACATTTTATTTCTTTGTTTTCATCCCAAAAAGTTGTGAAAACACTTTTCTTAATCTTGGATCACATCACCCAATAATACAATGACAACTCATCTCATCTCATTTTATTTCTTATTTTTAAGAATGAACCAAACCAAAAGAAAACAACAAACTACAGGAAATAGGTTTCTTATAATTCATTTCCTTATTTTTTTAGCGAACCAAACAACATCAAAACTAGTTTTCTTAAAAAATCACTCACATCATCCAATAATAATATGACAACTAATATCATTTCATCTCTATTTTTTTGATTTTCTTCTTTTTTTAGCCAACCAAACACTCCCAAACCAATTCTTCATTTTAATAGTTTTCCATTTCTTTGATTTCCCTTTTTTTTAGTAAAACAAACAGGCCCTAACCTCAAATCATTGAAATTGCTGTTTGACGTTCTAAGAGATCTCGCAATTCGGTAGCCTAATGACCAAAATACCCCTTAGTTCATTTTTTCCCAAGGAGAATCCTTGGGCCTTCAAATAAATATTAGTCGAAGTGTATTACAGTTACCGAGGGATGAAATTGCAAGACCCCGTTGGATTTTGATGGGCGCAGAGCAATTTCAAGAGATGAGGTACTAATATGAAAATTCTACTAGCGTCCAAATTGAGATGTAGACATAGGCGTAGCCGGGGTAGGCTTGGCTTGTTCAAAGATCACAAACACTAATTAGCATTGGCTTGTTCAGTTTGATATATTATTCGAAGAAAAATGTGCACAAGTAATGATTTTGTTATCTTGATATTACATTATTAGTTCACAAGCCAACAACTTGGAACTTGTCGTCAGATGTGATTTCTTAACATAGAATCAGAATGTCAATTAGTATATTTATTTTCTCCACGGGCACAATTTTGAAAGCTCCCACTATTGTTTTAAAAGAAAGAAAAGAATTGATCATGTAATGTTTTATGTAAATATATATACAACATCTACAATTATTAACATACTTTATTTATCGAGGCAAAAAAAAATTTGCTGGCTACGCGCCACTAGATGTAAATGATCGAACTTGTTGCGGGCGACTCACTCGGAAAAAGAAACCAAAAACCCACTTTCCTTCAGATGGGCCCCGTCTTCAGTCACGGAGTATCTCGTGTCGCGCGAAACAAGGGCATTTCGGTAAATTCGACCCCACTGAACGCCAAAATATTCGATGAAATAAATAAATCACAAAGGCAAAAAACAAATAAAAAAACCCAAAAACAAATAAAAAACCAGCCGCCTTCTTCCTCCTCTTCTTCCCTCTGCAAAAACTCCTCTTCCCCAAAAAAAAAAACACTCCTCCCTTCCCAAAATGCCCCTACCTCTCCCTTCCAAGCTCCCCACTTACCCTCTCCTCCTCATACTCCTCCTCCTCACTCTCCCCATCCTCTTCTCCTTCCGACACCCTCACTCTTCCCGAAATACCCCTCTCCATTCCCAGAATACCCCTCCCAGAACCCTCTTCCTCTCCCTCTCCCAAGCCTCCAACGCCTCCATCTCCTCCCACCTCCGCTCCCTCACCCGCGGGCCCCACCTCGCCGGAACCCCGC